GATTTTTACATTTTGTTAACTTTTTGTTCACAAACGTATGTCCACTTTGCTCTTGGATTGATGGTATGGTCCTTTTCCTCATTAATTTGTATCCTTATATCCTAAGTGAATTGGTCCTTTGTGATGTGAGTTACAAATATCTTTCGTCATTTGACTTTGCTTATAGTGTACTAGCCCACACAAAAAATTTTTTAAATTTTAATTAGGATCAGAAATTTTGCCTTTTTTTTTTTTTAACATTGTTGAACTTTCGATCTTTTACTTTATGGCTTTTGAATTTTGTGTCCTATTTAAAGGAATTTTCCTATACCAGCATTCTAAAAACAAAACAAAACAAAAACCATTCAACCATGATTTGTTTTGGTATTTTTATGGTTTCATTTTTACATTTCAGTTTTTACCCAAATGAAATTATTCTGGAGTGTGAGTTATAAATTTAGGTTAATTTTTCTTGTGTGGCACCTGGTTTTGTCCACACTTTTTGCCTAATAATCCTTCCTTCCCCTTTATATTTGAAATACTACCTTATCAGATATCAAATGCCTATCTGTGCTTTGGACTATTTCTATTCCATTGATGTGTCTTTTCATATTCTAGTAGCACAGTTTTATCATGGTACCTTTGTACTGTGCTTTATTATCTGATAGAAAAAGAACCTGGTAAGGCCTGTCATTCTTCTTTTTGGAATTTCCTAGCCTTTTTTGTTTTCCCAATGAATTTTCTCACAGCTTTTCTAGTTCCCCCCAAATTATAGAATTTAAATATATTTAAAATATTCAATTATGGGCACCTGGATGGCTCAGTGGTTGAGCATCTGCCTTTGGCTCGGGTTGGATCCTGGGGTCCTGGGATCAAGTCCCACATCAGGCTCTCCCCACAGGGAGCCTGCTTCTCCCTCTATCTGTGTCTCTGCCTCTCTCTTTCTCTGCGTCTCTCATGAATAAATATATAAAATCTTGAAATAATAATGATATTTAACATATAGATTAATTTAGGGTAAACTAACAACTTTATGATATTGAGTTTTCCTATTCAAAATTGGAGGTGCCTTTCTACTTGTTCAAATATTTTGTGTGCCTCAGGAGCCTTTTAATGTTTTCTTTATGTAGATTTTACACTTCTTTTTAAGCTGAAACATTGTTTTTTAAATTATCATTGAGGGCCTTCTAGACTAGTATTTCAGAAAATGATCCAGTCATACCTTCAATGGTATCTTTTGCCTCTAGGATTAAATCTAAACTTAGCCTCTCATTTAGAGCTTTACATATTCAGCTAAAAATCTATTTTCCACATGTTTTCTTCTTACCTGTATCTACTCAGCAGCCTCCAAACAAGCTGTATCCTTCCATGCCTTCTAGCTGGGAGCATTGTACCTCCCTGGTTCCCCTCCTCCTCTGCCAATCCAAAGTTGTTTTCTTCAGGAGATACCCTGCCTCCCCTCCCGCTTGACTACTCTAATTAGAAATGACCTCTTTCCTCTTCGGTCCATGGCCATCTACTGAATGTGCCATTTATCTGATAATTAATCCAATAACACCTTGCGACAGCTTTTGTATTATTAAAATGAACTGCCTTTTAACTCTTGCGTGGTTGCAAAATTAACTGCTTGTGGATTTTTGTCTTGTTTCGTCAACAAGATTGAGGCCCTTGTGCTCCCCACAGCATCCAGGACAGGACCCTACATATTGTAATATTAGTAGTAGTGATGGGTAAGAGTGATAATGATCTCTATGGCTAGTTTTCTGTGGGCCAGGTACTGTTTTAAACACTTTCCATGGATGAACTCCCTTATTGGCAGATAAATATTTGCATTTTGGTGTTGTGGTTTGATTTGACCTCAAACCAAACCTCTGAAAAGAAGTGTAAAAGAAAGCTCACTCAGTCACAATGTCCAGACACTCATTCTAGCTAGCTGGTCAGAGAAGAACACGAACTTTCTAGGAGCAGCCCCAATATCTTGGGGAGGATTGAGGATGGCCACAGCCTGGGAAGGAAAGGAAAGGAAGAGGAAGAGAAACAGGCAGGAATGGAGAGCTCCCAAGCTTGAGGGCAGCAGAAGCACCAGGGTTTTCTGAGGCTCCGGTGGCTTTGAGTCAGGGCATGCCGGTGGATTTGCTTACTTTCCTGCACTGGCAGGGTTAGGGGTCTGGAAATAAGGTCTAGCCCCTGGCTGCACCTGGCTGAGGCCTCCTTTCCATGGAGGGTCTCTGCAAGATGCCCCAGGTCCCCTGGGGACAGCAGACCCAATGCATGGCCACTGCCCCAGCCTGTCCACACCACCAGGGTTCCCAGCCCAGCTGGCCCTGGGCCACCCATTGCTCCTGCATTAGGAAGCCTCCTGATAAATACTTGTGCCATGCTAGGAGTGAATGTGCTGAGCATGCTGATGTGGAGCAGCCAGAGCAAACAGCTAATGGAAATTAATCCCCACCCCTGGGCCTTTTCTCTCCTTGTGATCATCATTAGCTTCTCGGAATCTTACCCATGTCTCAACACTGCAAAATGTTTCAGGGTTCTGGGGATTCTGGGCAATTGTGTCCTAGCCTCCAAGCAAAAGGTAGCCAAGAAGCTGCTTGTCTGAGCTCTAAACCTACAGCTCCAACATTTTGGGGTCCACAAGGCTCCATTTGTGTGTTGAAACCTGGGGAGATCTAAGGGTAAGTTAGGATCCATCTGTACCAGCCCACTATATGTGCCAGCCCAGCAGCCAAGAATTAAATCCCATGTCCCCAGCTAAAACCACTTCCTTACCCTTTGTCATGCACAAATAAATGACTTTCGGTACCCATGTGATGAAATTTTTGGATTCTTAAAATCAAGAAAAGAAAGGAAGAAAGGACTTGAGTTTTTTTTTTAATACATTCATCTCTAAAGGGCCTAAAAATTTCAGCCCCTTGGTCAAAGCTCCACAATTGGTTGGAAGGACTAGTCCCTGAACGAACAGATTTGGTCTCTAGGGAAGGTACCATGGGGTTGTGGCTGGTTCTAGACATGCCCCAGAATAAATGCAATTGCTTTCTGTTCAATATATCATTGGAATTTTAGTTACATTTTACTGAACAGTCCTTGAAATCAGGAAAGTGGTTTAATTTGCTGCCAACAAAAGAGTAAAGAGAGTCTTCCCCCTGAAACTTTGCCCAGCGGCCCAATATGGATGGATTGCCATTTTAATTTTATATTTGAAACTTATAGAGTCAGTAGTAGTATTTTTCCTCTTCGTGGAAGTCTTATTTAGATGACTGCCATTGAATTCTTTATATGAGACACCAGCACTCATCATATTTATAAAAGAGTATGTCTGCCTCAAAGAGAGAGCTGTCTTTCTTGTCCCTGAGTTCCCCACCTCCCCCAAGAGCCTGGCACCTAGCGGTGACACAGTAAACATTGACTGAATGAATGAATAAGTGAATAAAGTGTCTGAGTTCCTAAAACTAAAATAGCAGTGCAGTAGGAAGGAATTTGATGCTGTGAGCCTCAGGAACCGCCAAAATTATACCCTTGAGGCCCTGCTGGCTGGGTTCCTCTTTTTGTTGTTGTTAAATCAGATATTTAATAATTTAAAAAGCCAGTCCTTCCATGGTTTGGGCTCAGCTGAGTGGACATTTAGTCTGCTCCCAGGGCAATGACATCCCTCCTGGCTAGGCTGCTCTGAGCCTGTCCTTGCTCTGCCCAACCCCCACACCCTCCCTGGGGATCCTCCATGGCCGAGGCCCAGCCATACTGCCAGGTCGGCTTCTGCACCAAAGTGCCCAAAGCCTTTTGCCACAAACTTCACTAAGGCCAACAGAGCAAGAATCCACCCGTCCTTCCCTCATCTCTCCCTTTGTTTCTCTTTTCTGCCACTCTCTCTTCTTTACCTTCCACCTCTCCCCCACTCTTTCTGCTACCCAGCTCTTCCCTCTCTCCAGCATCTGGTTCAAACCTCCCAGGCCTAACTGGACAGGTTATCAGCATTATTTTACAGAGGTGCTAAGAGGTACCTTTTCTGAACTGGTACAACATGGGTAAGAAAATTGGTTTGGGCTGATGCTGATTTAGGGTGGGGGTGTCAGACCCAGCTTCTCAGGTCTGAAGATGGAGAAACCCCTACCTGCCGTTCTGGTGGTGAGAGATTCAGCATGGATAGTCCCCAGCTCAAGCCTTCCTTATCCCTCACCTTGTATGGATCACACATTCCATTTGCCTTGCTCATCATTCTTCTCTGCCCTACCAGGAGCCCCTCAAGGAGTTTGTTTTACTTTTATATGTTATCAGGCCTAGCATAAGCCTGCCAACAACAGGAGCTGAATAAATGTGCAGTCAACTACAATTCAACTCTGGAACACCAACTGTATACCAGGCTCTAGGCCTAGGGGATGTAGAAGTAAACTAGACAGATAGACTTCGCTGGGCTCAAGATACCTACAGCCTTGCAGGAGAGATAGGCTTTCAACTCATATGAATGTGAAGTGAGACCTAAATAAGAAATGCATATGCAGGGGTCAGGGCACACACAGGGAGGCCTAACCTAGCCAAGGGGTCAGGGTAAGCTTTTTAGAGAAGCACTGACTCCTACAGGACAAATAGGAGTTAGGTGGAAGGGGTGGGGTAGAGTGGATGGGCAAGAGAGACCATTCTAGGCAGAAATAATGTTTGTTGGATAGATAGATGGGTGAACCTTGCATTGGAATCTGAGCTTGCTGGTACAGTGGGACAGAGCGTTCTGCCAGGTACAGGAAATAGGTGGCTGAATTAGAGGCACATAGCCACTGTGTACAGAATGTGGTGGTGGAAGCTATCTCTTCATTGCTCCAGTCATGGTACATGGACTCATGTTGCCCAAGGGCTATACTCTGATCACAAATGTTCCTAGGAAGGGGGTGGAATAGATACTTCAACCCTCTCTGCCAAGGATTGGGGGGTCCTGGGATTAAGAGAAAACCCTTCAGCTCCATGTGTCACATGTCACATTGACACTGCCAGTCTTGGCCACCTCACCCAAGACTCTGCTCCTCACTCAGATGAACGGGAAGTTGTTCAGAAGAAGACCTTCACAAAATGGGTGAACTCGAACCTGGCTCGTGTGCCCTGCCGCATCACTGACCTCTACAAGGACCTGCGGGATGGAAGGATGCTCATCAAGCTGCTGGAGGTGCTTTCCGGAGAGATCCTGGTAAAGTCCTTCTCTGTGCTGTGGCCCCTTTCCCTGAATCCCGTGGCTGGTGCTATGTCTCCTCTTTAGAAAAGACATCATCTGGGGTATTTCCATTTCTCACTGCCTTTCAAGGTTTCTCCCTGTTCTTTTGGAAGGTTTTGTTACTTCCTGATGTGAGATGTCCGTGTGGCTTACTGAGTTCTCTGACCTCTTACCAGACTTTATTGTTTCTTGGCCATTCCCACCTCTTCATGCTTCTCCCAAAAGCCACACAGAGCTCTTGAGTTCTCCACTTGGGGCCTAGGCATCTGTGTCTGGCCTGCAGCGGACCCCCCCCACCCACCCAGCCTCCTCATGCAGTCTGGAATGGATTCTGTAACCCAGCTGGAGAAATTTGCATCCTTCTTGAAACCAAGAGAAAAGCATGGAAGATATTTTCCTATGTATTCTGTCACTCTTACAAGTGGAAATTTATGTAGGCCCACTCAGTTGTGACCCACTATGCAGTAATGTTGCCCCTGAGGGAGAACCAGATTAAGGTTCCAGTTTTGCTTAGTTACTTTTTTTTTTTAAGATTTTATTTTTATTTATTCATGACAGACACAGAGAGGGAGTGGAGGCAGAGAGGCAGAGACACAGGCAGAGGGAGAAGCAGGCTCCATGCAGGGAGCCTGACACGGGACTCGATCCCAGGTCTCCAGGATCATACCCCGGGCTGAAGGCGGTGCCAAACCGCTGGGCCATCGGGGCTGCCCTGCTTAGTTACTTCTATTATGACCTTGGTTCTATCAGTCAGGACCTTCTTTTCCTTGTTTCCCCTAAGTATAAGTGATACCTGTACCTGATGAAATACTAAGATCTTCAGGGTTTGAATGAAAATGTACCACATTCTTCTGTTGCTTTTTCAACTCCAGGCTGCTGTGCCTTATCCTGTATTGAAAGACCACTAGGAAGAGTTACCACTGGGAACCCTTCACATGATGTGGTTCCTCCTCAGTGGTGGCTCCCTTAAGTTCTGACTGGGGCCATTCAGGGGTGGGAAGGGCAGAGGCTGGCTGATGGGATGGACCCCATTATCAATCACTCAACAGAAAGCCCCTCTTATCACCAACCAGCAGTTCATAGTTCTTAGAACTGTGCCTGGCACATAGTAAGTACTCAGTTAACTATTTGTTGTGTCAGGGCTTTTGAATGTCATTTATTACCCGTTCAGACCCAGAAATAGCACTGATGCAGCCCAGTTGCAGAGCTGTGGGTGCTCAGGGAAGGGGGAACCTCTGAACTTTGCAGAAAGGATGGGGTTGAAGAGTGTCAAGCAGTGAGTGTGAGAGCTGGAGTTTGGCCAGGAGGGTGGAGGGTGTGTGCTGATGACAGGAGTTGGCCCAGGCTACAGTTACCTCTGGGGTGACCATGACATTCCTCCATGCCCACGGAACCAATACTGTCCCCCAGCCAAAGCCCACGAAGGGAAAGATGCGCATTCACTGCCTGGAGAATGTAGATAAGGCCCTCCAGTTCCTCAAGGAGCAGAGGGTGCACCTGGAAAACATGGGCTCCCATGACATTGTGGACGGCAACCATCGCCTCGTCCTGGGCCTCATCTGGACCATCATCCTTCGCTTCCAGGTGAGTTCTGGGGGAGCGGGGCAGAGGGAGTACAGGGAGCCTCCCTGGGCCAGGCAGGGCTTAGGAATCTTATAAAATGGTGAATGGAGTGTGAGTGTTTGTGCACATTCTGGGAGGCTCAGAACCTGTAGGAGGAAGGAAGAAGTAACCATCCTTTGCAGTGATGGCTCACAGATGCAGAGTGAGTTCGGACAGCAGTCTAGTCTTTTCAGGGAGAAGATAGAAATTAGAAGCTGAGATGATGTCTGGCTGGGGGATCTGCTTTTGTCTCTTTCCCACAACATGTCAACATGTGTCACTTTTTTTTTTAAGATAGTTCGATTCAGAAGTTGCCAAAACAGTACAGAAGATCTATATCACGGTTTTCAATCAGAAACCTTTCCCTTCCCACCCTGAAATTCAAGGTCCGTTACTTGTAAGGAAATTTAGAAAGTGTGAGGGAAGGAAAGCAGGGCCTTCCAGTTGCTGGCTTGGGGATAGGAAGAATCTAGTCCCAAGGGCAGGGAGGAAGAAGATAGCACACAACTCGCAGACCAAAGAGCTCATCCAGGGGGTCTCGGGTGCGTACAGTAAACAGTGGTAACAGCAGAATTGAGGAGAATGAAAAGGCAAGAGGAGCTTCTAATCAAAATCCAATACCTTCAGTATTCCTGTTGTCCCTTGCAGGGCATTGTTCTTCAGAGGAGGATTTGGGGCATCTTGTTTCTTGTCAGTATCCCATGAGTCATCGAGCTAGAGCTGTCTCCTCTGACATGAGGAGGCTGTCCCTGTCCTAATGCAGTGAACTAAGGCGGGGGAACGGGCCACCGGGACCCAGGACCTTAAACCATGGTGTTGCTGCAGGGCTGGCAGTGCAGACAGGTGGCTAAGAAGGAAGAGAGAGGGAGGAAGCTTCCCAGGGAGAGCAGAAAGGCATGGAGCCAGATGCACATCTAATTCCCCCCTCTCTTGTTCCCGCACCCCTAGATTCAGGACATTATTGTGCAAACTCAGGAGGGTCGTGAGACGCGCTCGGCCAAGGATGCGTTGCTGTTGTGGTGTCAGATGAAGACAGCAGGGTATGCCCTGGGAACCAGTTAATGACTACATTCCCCACTACCCCCTTGCTTTCCCCCAAGTACTGCCATAGCCAAGAGAAATGCACACCATCGCCCAGAACACTAGCAGCTTTGGCCTAACTGATACAGAATCTGTCCTGACATGATTATTGGAGGCCTGGAATTCAGGATTCCTTTCTAGAGTTGCCTGGCTCAGACTGTGGTGTCGGTGGGTGTGAGTCTCTTGGGCCCACCTTATGGAGGAGTCTCTTCATGTGACTTAGCTGCTGTCTGCGATTGAAGGGGGCTCGAGAAGGGACAGATCTGTTTCTCTCCAGTGCCTTGGTCCCTCAGTTCATACACTTTCAGGGACTCCAGAATAATCTTTTCTTAGGTCTTAATGTTTCTCTTGGGTGCAGCTACCCCCAGGTCAATGTCACCAACTTCACCTCAAGCTGGAAGGATGGCCTGGCCTTTAACGCCCTGATACACAAGCACCGGTAAGGGGGAGGAGAGGGCCGAGGATAGGACCCCTGCGCTGTTTGGATACATTGCTGACAACGCCTGGTCCTTCCTCTCATCCTCAGCCTCCCTGCCTCCTGGAAATTCCAGGCATGCCCTCTGCCCCTTCCCCACATTCTGGTGCTCACAGCTGCCCTTCCCCTGCTTCTGTCTCCTCCTTTCACTTCTCCCCAGCTGTCTGTCCAGTGTCTGCTTCATGCCGGGGCTGCCCTGTAGGTGGGGGATGCCATGGCCACCGCCTCTTAGCCATCTGGCCTTGTGCCCCCAGGCCTGACCTGATTGACTTCGACAAGCTGAAGGACTCCAATGCACGACACAACCTAGAGCATGCATTCGACGTGGCTGAGCGTCAGCTAGGCATCATCCCACTTCTCGACCCTGAAGGTGAGCTGCACCTGCCCAGCCCTTCGCTGCTGTGACGGGAGGTAGTGTTCATACTGGAGGGAGCCCCAGACTGACAGGGCACCTGGAGGAGCGTAGGCCCTGTGCCCAGCCGGCCGCGGACACAACGAGGGGCCAGTGGCTAGGCCAGCACTCTGTTCCGGGCCTGCTCTTCAGATCCAAGGCAGCTCCTGACACTCTCCTGGCCCAACCAGTGGCCCATTTGTAGTCTTTCGATCTTTCTTTCTCTCCCTGTGGTCCTAATATGGATTTCATCCTCTCACTAAAATCACAGACACTCATTGTCACCCTTGGGTTGTCACTTGATGCCTGGAGCTGAATTTCATGGTGGAGGAACAGGGAGATAAACCCTCTGACATCTCTAGCTTCCATTTGGGTCCTGACCACACACCCTATCCCCTTGCAGATGTCTTCACGGAAAATCCTGATGAGAAATCCATTATTACCTATGTGGTGGCATTTTACCACTACTTCTCCAAAATGAAGGTGCTGGCAGTGGAGGGCAAGCGCGTCGGCAAGGTACAGAGCTTTCACAGCCAGTGTCACCTTGTTTCCCTGTTTGCCATGCTGAGATGCTCCTTTTCCATCCTAAGAGCTGTGTATCTGGGCCCCTGCTGCAGTGGGGGCTATAGATCACTCCCTACCAACTTCTCTGAAGCCAGGCTCTGCCAAGGTAATGGCTCCCAACTTCAATTCCAAAGCAAGTTGATAGTCTGTCCTGAAAAATGTCCTAGCCTGCAGCTCTGAGCACATCTTCCACATCTCATGAACATTTCCATGGGACACGATGGGCTTTTATATGTTGGTTTATTATGGTTCTGGGCCTCTTAGCTTCTGTGGTATATCAGGAACCCACTATACTGTACAGACCTTCATGCCTAATTCCTTTCTCCCCTGCTGGTCCACTGCTCCCGAAGGGTAGAGACTATTTCTCAATTGTATTTTTATGCCTGGTGTTCAGCAAAGATGGTGCCTAGAAGCCCTGGATTCCTAATAATGCATTTAAAAATAAACAAGATTTTGGCCTTTCTAGTGGCTGATGCCCTGGCATAGCAAGCTTACCAGTCAGTCTTTTATAGGGTTAGGGGAAGGGTGGAGCTGCCCCTGAACCCTAGCAGAGCCAGCTTCCTACTAATGTTGCCAGTCCACTTCCAGTCCACTCCTCCTGCCTTGGCAATGTTTTTGAGCTCAGGGAACAAACCCAATCTGGAACACTCCAGGGCTGGAGAGGAGGGCCACCTTAATTGTGGCCCCCCTGGTGGCCTCTATTGGTATCATTGCTCTTCTGATAAGAATAAGTAATAAGGGCACTTGGGTGACTGAGTCAGTTAAGCATCTGCCTTCAGCTCAGGGTCCTGCGATTGAGTCCTTCATCAGGCTCCTTGCTCAGTGGGGAGCCTGCTTCTTCCTCTGCCTGCAGCTCCCCCTGCTTATGCTCTCTCTGTCAAATAAATTAATAAAACATTTTTTAAAAAATAAGTAATAAAGTGATTCCCTAGGTAATTGACCATGCCATTGAGACCGAGAAGATGATTGAAAAATACAGTGGGCTGGCCTCAGACCTGCTCACCTGGATTGAGCAGACCATCGTTGTCCTGAACAGCCGCAAGTTTGCCAACTCCCTGACGGGCGTCCAACAACAACTACAGGCCTTCAGCACCTACCGCACTGTGGAGAAGCCACCCAAGTAAGGGCCTTGGCTCTGGGAAGATGGGCATTCAGGCTAAGAAACTGATTGCTAAAGGTAGAGCCCTGGGCCTTGAGAACTATGTCCAGGAAGTATATCCTAGAGGCTAGAGAGCTTCACATCTGTCATGTATGTCATCCCCACCTTCCTTTCTTGCTCCTAAGTCATCAGGCTCTAGGAAATGGGCATCAATGAGTAACCCTCAACTCATAGCCAAAGAAGGAGAAAGTGCTGGAAAGTTTCTCTCTTCTCTGTAGACTGAGCTGTGCATTTGTTATCTGGTAATGACCTCTATATTCTCAGTCCTGGAGCTCTCTGTGTGGGGTCTTGTTGATCTCAGGTACCTCCTGTTTCTCTCCCATCTGTCACTGCTCATCAACAGAGCATTAATCCTGCCTCTTGGGACCTCCGCTTCAACCCAGTATGTTCAGGGTCTGTGCACATGTGCACACACACATGCACAGACACACCCATGCATGCCCACGCATGTAGACATTCCCATAGAAACATGCACATGCATACACACAGAGGAGGCATTCCAGCTCACCTGTCATCAGCTTGTCCAGTTCTTCTGAAACAGATTTCTAGTTCACTGATAGTACCCTCTGCCTTGTTCCTTCCTTCCCTTCCCACACTCTTCATTCATGACTCAAACAGGGAAAGGTAAGACACAGAGTCTAGAACGTACTATAAACAAGTATCTGGTTTCTGGCCTGACACTAACCCATTTTTAAAGTCCTAAATTTAATACAGATAACCTCCCCTGTGCTTCTCTCCGGCCATGCACCGCAGGGATGCTGTCTCTTGGCTAAGTAGATGGCGCTCCCGGGCCACAGCTCTCTTAAAATGACTGTGAGGGGTCAGCTCTGCCAGGCTGGTCTTGGGGTAGGGACTTTGTTGACAGCCAATCTTCAACTGCCACATGGAAGATGCAGAAGTGGGTAGATACTTGTGTACATGTGAAAATGTAAAAGTATGCAGTTACCTTCAGCTTAGACCCTGGGTTCCAGATATTCACCATGCTGCCAGTTCTCACCTGCACCTGCTATCCTCCTGGAGCCCAGCCTTTCCTCTCCCCTCAGAAGCATCTGGCCTTTAGGACTTGTCCGGAGGGCTGGCTCAGTAGTACTCAGTTGGAAGTTGCTTTCAATACAATATGTTCTTATGTGGATAATGCTACTTCTAAGGCTTCATTGACTCACTCAATAAGAAACTGACTAAAGAGCTAGTCAGACACCTTCATTGTCTGCAGAACAGTGAAGAGTGTTTTTTGGTGTCAGTTGGCAAAACTCTTGGTATCCGCAGGAATTACTAGAATACTCTGGTTAGCCATTCCCCTGTGGAAACAAATGATAAGCAAACATTAGGGTGGCTGTTGTGTTTTTTTCTGGTTTGTATTATAAAGACTTAACCCTTAGTAGATCACAGTTGGTGAGGATGATAGATGTCTTAACAGGTAAGTAAACCTGTATATCTCTTTACTTTTTGTTTTTCAAGGAAAAAATGTTTTTCTATCCAAGCTCCAAGATGCCAGAGTTTCATGTTGGCTTTAGCAAAAAATTTGGCTGTGGGGACCTCGACGCTAATCTCCCTACCTCTGGTTTTCTCAACAGGTTTCAGGAGAAGGGGAACCTGGAAGTCCTGCTTTTTACCATCCAGTCACGGATGAGAGCCAACAATCAGAAAGTGTATACACCTCATGATGGGAAACTTGTGTCTGACATCAACCGGGTACAGCAGTGTTTTCCATTATGCATTGCCAGCGGGTTGGCTGAGTTTCTGATAAGGGTGTGGAGAATGGTCACTGGACAGGGCTAAGCCAAGCCACTTTCTATCGTGTTATTAACTACACAGGCTGGCTAGTTAGGGGTACTCTCTGAACCCAGTTCTGAGAGGTTCAACTCTACCCATTGTCCATTAATTCAGCCCCCTGCTCAGATGCCCAGAGTCATTTTTTCGAGCCAGTTTTATAGCTTAGTCTCTATAGCTTCTTGAGTTTCACTGACTATAGAATGAATGTTAACTACTTATAACAGAAGGGAAATGCCTTCTGATATTTCAGAGGTTTGGAGGCTTAGCACGACTTGGGCATTCTAACAGAATGAAACCAGCCATTTAGTCAGTGAGAATTTACTGAACACCCACAGAGTACAAGTAACAGTAACTAACATTAGGCCAAGAGTATCTAAGGCAGGTTTAGAGGAGGAGGGGACTGGGAGGTCAGGACCAATGCTCCCCAAATCTTCGGTAACCAAAAGATTCTGAACTTCAGGCTCTGCCTAGATTCCTGAAATCACTCAGTGTTGGGCAAAAGAGGCAGAAGCCCCAAACCCAGGTGTTCCCCCTGCACTCCATGAATTCTCCTCTGTCCCTCACACAGGCCTGGGAAAGCCTGGAGGAGGCCGAGTATCAGCGGGAGTTGGCCCTGAGACATGAGCTCATTCGGCAAGAGAAGCTGGAACAACTGGCCCGGCGCTTCGACCGAAAGGCCGCCATGAGAGAGACGTGGCTCAATGAGAACCAGCGCCTTGTGGTTCAGGTAGTGGGAGATGCACTGGCCATGGCGGGGGCAGAAGCGTTCTGGAGCCCCCAGCGGTCACCTGAGGCTGGAGACCCAGCTGGCCTCCCAGCGGCAGCAGGATAAGCCTCTCCACGGGCCTCGCAGCCCTGCCCCCCATGATTAGGTAGATCCGGATTCACATTTGAGGAAGAACTTTCCATGGACTCTGGCCGCTAGGGCCACGGTCATATTTCACTAACTAAAAATTGATCCCACAGCTGATGCCCCGGAAAAGTAGTGGGCTGACCATTAGAGTTTGGACTCAAACGTTGTCCAGGAAGGGGAAAACCAGTGTTCTAATAGAATTGGAGAGTTGTGCATGCACCCCCAATAGCACGGGGCTGAGCCATTTATTTACAACTGTGGGGCTCTGAGTGAGATGCAGCCCCTTCCTGCCCAGAATTGGGCAGGTCCTTTCAAGACAGGGTGGTGAGTGCCCGCAGGCTGTGAAAGGGCTCTATGAATAATTTACACACAGCAAACTTACAAGTATGGCCTGGTGAACAAACTTATGAGCTTCTTTTAAAGGTTCTTGCAAGACATTTAGTCTTTGGAACTTGGCTCTGTAAGACAGGCTGAAAAGACAGCAGAACAAACTTCCTGGGAATGGGTTTTCCCATGGAGCAGTTGTTCTGAAGGGACCTGCCATTTCTCTGTGAAGGGACTAGCCATGGGGAGCCTGACTGGGTTGCCTGCTTTTCTCCCTATGGGGCAGGACAACTTTGGGTATGATCTGGCAGCTGTGGAGGCCGCCAAAAAGAAACACGAGGCCATCGAGACCGACACGGCTGCTTATGAGGAGCGGGTGAAGGCTCTGGAGGACTTGGCCCAGGAGCTGGAAAAGGAGAATTACCACGACCAGAAACGCATCACTGCCCGCAAGGACAACATCCTGCGCCTGTGGAACTATCTACAGGAGCTTCTGAGGACCCGGCGCCAGAGACTCGAGATGACCCTGGCCCTGCAAAAGCTCTTCCAGGACATGCTGCACAGCATTGACTGGATGGATGAGATCAAGGTGGGCCCCAGAGGCTGCCCATCCCCCGCGGCCCCAGGCCTACCTCAGTGCTGGCCCTGCAGTGAGCTATGCTTCCTTAGATGCCTCCCAGCCAAGCACATCCCTGAGCCACAATGGAGAAACAGAGGCAGTACCATGTCTGGCTGCATCCCCCTATTGACTGCTTGGCTCCCTCTGCTCCAGGCAGGTCACCAGCCCAGGTCCACTGTATTTTGGGTGATCAAGACGTCTTAGGTTCGTGGTAGCTCAGGTGCCAACCCACAGGACCTAGAAGTTATAGACATGAATCAGGAGCCTGGAGAATCAGGCTCTGAGTAGTCACAGTTTGAGTCTGGCTAGAATCCAGACCTCCCAGCATAGGGGCAATCAAGAAGTCTGAACCTCCTCTCCCTCCACTGCAGTAGGTCTCACCAAAGATGCACAGTAAGCCGATCATGGAGTTTTCTAAAAATACACATGTCCAGGCTCCAAAACTTGAGACAGATGCAAGAGATCTAGTGTGAGGCTTCAGCTTCTGAAAAACGTTCCATGCATGATTCTGAAAGGCACTTCCAGGAGGAAGTCCTGCTCTATAGCTTCCATGCTGAGCGGCAACCATTTTTTGGCTACATCTGACTCCCAGGCCCAGACATTCCCTCCCCTAGCAGGTATGTGCCTTCACCTCTCCTCGTCCCCTCTACCTGGTCTGTCTTCTTTGATAGGCTCACCTCTTGTCTGCCGAGTTCGGGAAACACTTGTTGGAGGTTGAGGACCTGCTACAGAAGCACAAGCTGATGGAAGCTGACATCGCCATCCAAGGGGACAAAGTGAAAGCCATCACCGCAGCCACCCGGCAGTTTGCTGAGGAGAAAGGTGAGGCCACAGATTTCTCCCCAACCTCTGGCTCAGCATTCTGGCACACCGGCTTGGATAAATCTCCTAGCTTTAGAGTTCTGCTTCCTCCATCACCTAATGGTGCAAGGAAGAAGTTTGAAGGATAGCAAAATTCTCCGGAGAGCAGGCAGCTGCTTTAGTAATCTATAATTAGGTGTTTATAATCACCAATAACGCTTCATCTGCCTTTCATTCACTCTGCCAGTTCAAGATAGAACAGAGAACAGGGATTGCTAGCTTTGGTTTGGATTTCTTTATTTTTTAAAAAAATAAAGCTTTATTTGTTTAATCTCTACACCCAATGTGGGGCTCAAACTCATGACCGAGAATCAAGAGTCCCACACTCCTCCACCTGAGCCAACCAACAAGGTGCTCCTCTAGCTCTGGCTCTTAAATAAAACACCCTGTTGCCTCTTTGAAGAGTCAACTTGAAATTTGTGTCTGGGCCATTTTATTTATTTTTTAAAGATTTTATTTGTTTATTCATGAGAGATGCAGAGTGAGAAGCAGGCTCCCTCTGGGGAGCCTGATGCGGAACTCGATCCCAGGACCCCGGGGATCATACACAAGCCAAAGACAGACACTCAACCACTGAGCCACCTAGGCACCCCAGGGCTATTTTATTTATTTTATTTTATTTTATTCATTTCATTTCATTTTAGATTATTTTATTTTAGATTATTTATTTGAGAAAGAGATACATCAGGGGGACGGGCAGAAAGAGAGGGAAAGAGGTTTTAAGCAGACTCTGTGCAGAGCGCATAGCCCACCATGGGGCTTAATTTCACGACCCTGAGATCATGATCTGAACCCAAATGACTATGCCACTCAGGTACCCCTGTGTCTGGGCCTTTTAAAAAATAATTTCACGTTGTGCATTTCTACTGAGAGCTGGCCCAATTTACTCATGAAATGTTAGTGGAACTTAATTATGAAGAATCTCTCCTGCCCTCCAAGCAACTGGGCCCCCCTGTATGCAATCCCAAAGCCCCAGTGAGATGGTGGGTTCTAGATCATGTGGTTCTAGCCTGGCAGCTAATCTGAAGCTTGCCCACAAACAAAGCCCTTACCTCTTTTGTCTTCCTTTTTCTCATTCCCCCCAGGGTACCAGCCTTGTGACCCCCAGGTTATCCAGGACCGTGTCAGCCACCTGGAACAGTGCTTTGAGGAGCTAAGCAACATGGCAGCTGGGCGGAAGGCCCAGCTGGAGCAGTCTAAGCGGCTCTGGAAGTTCTTCTGGGAGATGGATGAGGCCGAGAGCTGGATCAAGGAGAAAGAGCAGATCTACTCTTCCCTAGACTATGGCAAGGACCTGACAAGCGTGCTCATCCTACAACGTAAGCATAAGGCCTTTGAGGATGAGCTCCGAGGGCTAGACACCCACCTGGGGCAGATCTTCCAGGAGGCAGAGGGCATGGTCGCACGGAAGCAGTTTGGGTACCCACAGATCGAGGTCCGGATCAAGGAGGTGTCTGCCCAGTGGGACCAGCTGAAGGAGCTGGCTGCCTTTCGCAAGAAGAACCTCCAGGACGCTGAGAACTTCTTCCAGTTCCAGGGTGATGCTGACGACCTCAAGGCCTGGCTGCAAGATGCCCACCGGCTGCTCTCAGGCGAAGATGTGGGGCAGGATGAGGGGGCCACACGGGCCCTGGGGAAGAAGCACAAGGACTTCCTGGAGGAACTGGAGGAGAGCCATGGGGTGATGGAGCATCTAGAACAGCAGGCTCAGGGCTTCCCCCAAGAGTTTCGGGATTCTCCAGATGTGACAAACCGGCTGCAGGCCCTCCAGGAGCTCTACCAGCAGGTGTTGGCCCAGGCAGTCCTGCGTCAGCAGAGGCTACAGGATGCCCTGGACCTGTACACGGTGTTTGGGGAGACAGATGCCTGTGAGCTGTGGATGGGCGAGAAGGAGAAGTGGCTAGCCCAGATGCAAATCCCAGACACGCTGGAGGACCTTGAGGTCGCACAGCACAGGTCAGAGCCTGACTTTCTCTTCCTTACCTCCCTGCTGTGCAGCCTGCACTCCAGCTCAGCCTGGTGTGATAACAGCCTCTAGGTCAGCAAGGCTCCAGAGGTGATGGGATGAGAGGTGATGGGATGCCCTTTATTGCTGAGGCCAGGCACCCAAGTCAGGTTTTAATCAGCCTCTGTGGCTTTGGGTACTTTACCCTATGGGGCCTTCCTTAAACTAAAGCAAAGGAGATCTTTCTAGTCCAGTTAGTCATTTACTTTTCAGCCACAGCAGTCTTTGTCCAAATGAATTGTATACAGAACCCCTGACCTATAACACAGAGGAATGTGGAGCTCTTTGGTTAAGGGGGAGGTGAGAAGTCAGAACCCCACCAGCTCTAGCTTTCTATGGCAGTCCCTAGGCCACAGCACCCCAAAGGACCAGGGACCAGTTTGCAAACCACCGGTCTGCAAGGCCACTCTCCTTACTGTCATTGCTCGGGCGGAGGTGGGGGGAGCACCCCCCCCATCCACGTGGCCCTCCAGCATCTTAAGTATGGAATTAGAGAGTTGAGAAGGATGAGCGGTCATGGCCCAGAGTGTGCACAGGTGGGCTTACGTTGCCGGAGGGACCTGATATTTTATCCCAGAAGGCTTTCCAAACTACACCCGTACCCCCAGTAGCTCTCCCTTCTCCTACCCAAGGACAGAGGACCTGGTTGGGGAGGGTAGCCTTCAGGCCAGGGTGTCAAAGCAGTGGAATTAGGGTCCGAGAGCAGCAGCTGTGGCAATTGGAAATATGGCAGGTATTCTCTGTGGTGATTAAACCCCCTACACGCACACTTCTTCTTTCCTCTGTTCCTTTCCATTGAGCCAGTGGCCTATGTAGTAAGCAACCAGCTCTTTACTAGCCTGACCCGAGAAATACTAAACCATGAAATTGAACCCATGAACCAGAAAATAGGGTATGTCAGCATATCTTTTTCCTTTCTGTCCCCTTACCCAGTCCAATGTATTCAGGAAATGGAAGGAGAAAGCAAGAGCCCCACGTTCCAGAGACTGGGCAGTAGGCAAAGTGCCCATGCTTCTTCCCCAGTCCTCATCTTTCTTTCCATATCAGGTTTGACATCCTGGACCAGGAGATGAAGACTTTGATGACACAGATCGATGGTGTGAACCTTGCTGCCAACAACCTGGTAGACAGCGGCCACCCTCGCAGCGGGGAAGTGAAGCAGTACCAGGACCACCTGAATGCCAGGTGGGGTGTGGGTTGGGCTGGGGGCTGAGGGTGCCTTTGCTTGGCAACTGACACCCCCCTTGGGGTGGAGCCTAAGAGTCAGGACATGTGCCATGTCCCCCTAGAGCTCCTGTCTTTCTAAGCCACAGTCTCCATCTGACTGTGGAGCTGTAGCAACAAGGGGGAAGGCCCTGTGTGGTGAACACAGCTGCGAATGCCGCCTCAGGTCGGGGGAAGGGGGGCGTGTATCCTGTGTGATGGCGGAGACGTTCTGAGTGCACGCATAGTTAGAATCAGGCCATATGGTACTCATGCCACATTTCCCCAGACATTCGTAGGCATGGAAAATTGCTTTCTGAGAGCTCTTAAGTACTGTCCATAAAAGAAAGCTCCAGCCTGTGCCAAAATGCAGCATCGATAATGAGGCTGGCTTGAATGAAGAAGAGAATTAGCAGGAAGCCTTGAGCAAGCTTTGTGACTGGAACAAAAAACAGGCCCCGAGGAGCTTTTGGAAAGGGGGTGCTTTCGCTTTCAGACCAAGGCATAATTGATGTGAGTTACTCAAGGGTCTCTGAGGACAGTACTTGCCATGTTCCTATTTGTTCCCTGGGCCCTGCACACATGGTACCACATATTCACCACCTCCCCATTGCCCCAGCCCCTTTCCCCACACTTGGGTCTGAATCTTGCTCTGCCTGAAGCAATCTGGGGGGTGGAGTTAGGGAAGACCCAGTTGTGTAGGGGAAAAGAGGGAGGATCAGCACAGTAGAGACTCTGGTGGGGGCCCAGCAGGAGGCAGGAGGGGGGTAGGGATACTTCAGAGTCACTAGGACAGGGCTGATTATCTCAGCATCTGAAGATGGAGACTGTAGTTCAGGAGATTCCTCTGTAATCTGAGGTTTATGCAGAGGAGGAAGATGTCTCTTTGTCCTTCTTTAGGGTTGGAGGTAATGGCAGTGCGTGTGTATTTGCATGTGTGCAGGCGGGCATGCGAGTGTGTTTGCATGTGTGAGACAGTAAGACTTGTCAGCAGGTATCTGTTGCCTTAATGAGCTATAGTCAGAGAACGATCTTTACAGATCCCTAAGCCCTCTACTGTCCTGAGTGAAATACGTCAAGGCACTTGCCATCCATAGGTGAGAGAACCAAATGCATGAAATGGCAGGATGGTCTTCTTGAGAGTTGAAATGTACCTGAGAAGTCATCTAGTCCAGTCAAATGTATTCCCAGGCCACTGTGTCTTGGACAGACTCCCAGGGTGGGGAGCGGAGCTCGCCCCTTTACCATGCAGCCCATCCCATTTGGAGGCAGCTCCTTTTGGTTAAAAGACTTGACCTTCTACTGAAGGAAATCTCCCTCCTTGCAATTTGTATACATTGGTTCTGGCCCTGCCCTTCAGAGAGATCAAAACCAATTGACTCCTCGTCCATGCAAGAGCCCTTCAAATATATTTTAAAACCACTGTCCGTTCTTCCCCTTTGCCCACAGTCCTGCCTCCAGGCCTCCACTGTTCTCTCCACCAGCATGCAAATTCTCCTCCCCAGCCCCTCTTTTAGGCCAGTTTGGGGTCCTCTTTCTCCCTGTACTATAAGCATCCTCTGTTTGAAATATTCTTTTCCTGCATATCCACATGGCTTACACCTTGACATTATTCAGATCTCAACTTGTATGTCAGCTTACTGGAAAAGCCTTCTATGACCACCCAGTTGAAAATATCACTGCCTCCTTCCCACCTGTCCCCGCGCCTCTATCTCATCACCTTGCTTAATTTTTTCATTGCATTTGTCACTGCTGGATGAATTATGGATTTATTTGTCTCTGCCCACTCAAATGAGAACAAGCACTTTGCCTTGTTCATTGCTACCTCTCTAGAGCCTAGGACAGTGCCTGGCACAAGGCACATGACAGTTGCATGATAAATGCTTAGTGAATGAGTGAACAGGAACAAAATGGAAATATCTTCTGCCAAGCTTGGCACATGTGAGTCATTCAAACTCTTACTGAATAAGTAATTACCTTCCACCGTGTGCATTCCAGTTGACCAACATTTTCTTCAATAATCTTGGGCCCAGGACCAAACCTGGAGTTCTGACATGGCCTGGCCAGGGCTACTGGAGTGGTGCTGTCAACTTCTTCCACCTGGAAGACCATGCAGCAGGGGGGACCAGACTTCATTCCCAGCCCATCCTCTCTGTGGCCTCTGCTGGTGTCTGCAATGAGGCCACACCAGGAAAAACCGAGAAAATCACCATGGGGCTTCTTGCACAGAGGCACAGAACTCTCCAGAACTCAAGGATTTCTCTGTCTAGGAGGGAAGATGTGAAATCTTTAGGCTCTTGCTCTTCTCTCTCTTGGTATTCCCAGTTCTCCCCGGCCTATCTCCCACTTCTCTTTGCAGACCTGTCTAGCAGCTGTTGTCACACCTTAGGAGGACCCACAATGCACTCAGTGAGAGTTGGCCTGGGGACAGGCCATTCACCTACATCCTCAGCCTCCTCCCCCAGGTGTTGGAGGTACAGAAAAGAGTGAGCTACTCAGAGCCCCCTCCTTAAATAGATCACTACAGTAGCAGTGCTGGAGAGGTGCTTATTGAGATCCAGCTCAGGTAGCCACCATGAAACCTTCCCCCATCACCCTTGTCACCCTCCCAGTTCCCTTAATCTATTCTTCCTGGTATGTGCTCTAAACATAGCACTTTATACTATAGTTATTTTGTGAGCTTGTCTTAATTTCTCTCTAAGTCATACACTCCATAAGGCAAAGTCTGGCTATGACTATATTCTCCCAAAAGCTAACATAATACTTATACCTTGTGGGTGTTCTGTATAAGGAAAGATGGGCTCAGCAGATGAGCATTCAGCACACTTTTATGTGCTTACATGTTGCTTACATATTACATGTCACTCAGAATGAGTCAACTTGGGGTGCCTGGGTGGCTCAGTCGGTTGAGCATCTGCCTTCAGCTCAGGTTGTGATCCCAGGGTCCTGGGATCAAGTCCCACATTGGGTTCCCTGCCCAGTCAAGCCTGCTTCCCCCTCTCCCTCTGCCCGCAGCTCCCCCTGCTTGTGCTCTCTGTGTTGTCTCTCTCTCTGAAAGACAGGAAGAAAGGGAGGGAAGGAGAGAGGGAGAGGGGGAGAGAGAGAGAGAGAGAGAGAGAGAGAGAGAGAGAGAGAGAGAGAAAGCGTCAACGTGGATCCCAGGAAACAGTCCCTGTTGGTCTCAGCCCAGGCTGATGCACAGCTCTTTAGAGGAGGCTCTGAGAGCTGCAGACCGGCCTCAGACCCAGGACATGTGCTAGACCTTTGCATGTTTCCCATTTTCATTCAAGCACTGCAGCTGAAGTTTAAGATTATGCTATGCATTTCAGCTATAATCCCAGCTCCCCCCTTCCCCCTTCTTCCTCTTCCTCCTCCTTCATAAGGTCCCTTTTCTTTTAGAGCTGAGGTGACTTTTTAGGCCTTGGGTACTTTGAACATGGTTTTGGCTATTTGTATGGTTCCTCTAGGGCTGCTGGGACCCTATGTTTTTGAGTTGATAAATGTAAACTTTCTCATTATTTTCAGCATTTCAAAAAAAATCTGGGGAAGTTATGCATTTGTCCAAAATTCAGCTACATACAGAGCCAAACTAAGAGTCCTTTTCATTCCTTTACTTATGGTTGAAATCACATCTCTGCTAATGGAAAGATTTGATTGGCAGTTTATATCATCTTGGGTAAAATTGGATAAGTGAATTTTACTCATCACAATTTGTTGGGTAGATGATTTTCAGTGTGCAGGATCTATGGGGAGAGCCTCTGGCGGGAGTCTAGGTAGGGATGCCCCGTGGAAAGTGTTAAGAAAGAGGGTGTCTGTGTCCTCCTTGGCAGGTGGCAAGCATTCCAGACCATAGTATCAGACCGGCGGGGGGCAGTGAACTCAGCCCTCCGGGTGCGTAACTATTGTGTGGACTGTGAAGAGACTAGCAAGTGGATTGAGGACAAGATGCAAGTGGTACAGTCCATAAAGGACCTGGGCCAGGACCTGACGGGCATCATTTCCATCCAACGGAAGCTTTCGGGGCTGGAGCGCGATGTGGCTGCCATCGAAGCCCGTGTGGGTGCCCTGGAGCATGAGTCACAGCAGCTGATGGCATCACACCCTGAACAGAAAGAGGACATTGGCCAGAGGCAGGCATGTGTGGAGAAGCTGTGGCAGGAACTGCAGGAAGCCCTGAAGGAACAGGAAGCCTCACTGGGTGAAGCCAGCCAACTACAGGCCTTCCTCCAGCATCTGGATAACTTCCAGACCTGGCTGTCCATGGCCCAGAAGGCTGTGGCTTCTGAGGACATGCCTGAGTCCCTCCCAGAGGCCGAGCAGCTTCTACAGCAGCACGTGGCCATCAAAGATGAGATTGATGGGCACCGAGGGGACTACCAGCAGGTCAAGGCATCTGGGGAGAATGTGATCCGTGATCAGACGGACCCAGAGTACCTGCTCCTGGGCCAGAGGCTAGAAGGCCTGGATTCTGGCTGGGACGCCCTGTGCCGGATGTGGGAGAGCCGCAACCACTCCCTCGCCCAGTGCCTTGGCTTCCAGGAGTTCCAGAGAGATGCCAAGCAAGCTGAGGCCATCCTCAGCAATCAGGTAGGGAGAGGCATTCAGGGTTAGGAGGGGGGTTATCTTTTAGGGTAACAGCATTGGTGAGCCTACGAATGTCCTCGGAGACTAAATTCTACTTATTCTTTTAATTTAAATTTGTTAACATACAGCACAATATTAGTTTCTGGAATAGAATTCAGTGATTCATCACTTACATACAACACCCAGTGCTCATCACAAGTGCCCTCCATAATCCCCATCCCCCATCTAGCCCATCCCCCACCCACCTCCTTCCATTGGCCCTAAGTTTGTTCTCTATCGTTAAGAGTCTCTTATGGCTGGTTTCTCCTTTTTTTCCTCTTCCCATTTCCTGTACCTTTATCTGTTTTCCTCCTTAAAAATTCTACATATGAGTAAGGTCATATAGTATTTGTCTTTTTCTGACTGACTTATCTGACTTAGCATAATACCCTCTAGCTCCATCCACATTGTTGCAAATGGCTAGATTTCATTCTTTTTGATGGCTGAGTAATATCCCATTGTGCATATACACCACATCATCTTTATCCATTCATTAATCAGTGGACACTTGGGCTCTCTCCATAGTTTGGCTATTGTTGATAATGCTGCTATAAACATTGGGGTGCATGTCCCCCTTCACATCTGTATTTTTGTATCCTTTGGGTAAATACCTAGTAGTACAAATGCTGGCTATAATGTTGACTTTTTGAGGAACTGTTAAAGTGTTCTCCAGAGTGGCTGCACCAGTTTGCATTCCCACCAGTAGTACAAGAGGGCTCCCCTTTCTCTGCATCCTCAAATTCTACATTTTGGGGAATCTCTCCAGCCACTAGTTGGGGGAAAATCCTCTCTGTTCCTTATTACGTGCCTTTTCCAGTCCTGTTTCCTAAACTATGCCTTGTTCTTGGATCAGTTACAGGCTGGAGATATGAATTTTCCTGAGTAGTTACCCTTCCATGTGGCTTTAGGCACACTGTACATTGGGTGCCCCTGGGGTGAGAGTGGGGGTGCAAGGCCTAAAGTGCCTCTTCCTTGCACAACCCCAGGGGGCACCATTCATGCTGTACTGTAGCCTAGATGGCTGCACATGGTGTTTCTGCTTGGCAAGTGCCCTCACTGCCTTCTCTCTCTCTCTCTTTTTTTTTTCTCACTGCCTTCTCAACTTGTCTTCATGCCTTGTCTGAAAACTTGCTTCAATAGGAATATACTCTGGCTCACGTGGAGCCCCCAGACTCCCTAGAGGCTGCAGAAGCTGGAATCCGGAAGTTTGAGGATTTCTTGGTGTCTATGGAGAACAACGAAGATAAGGTCTTGAGTCCTGTGGACTCTGGAAACAAGCTGGTAGCTGATGAAAACCTCTACTCAGACAAGATCCTGGAAAAGGTGCAGCTGATTGAGGACAGGTACTCTCTACCCCCAGGGTCATGGGGCCAGAGCCAGGTAGGGCTGGTGGTGTTATGCAAGGTCCCCAAGCTTAGCACTGTTGTGACTATGGTTTCCGGCTTCCCTTCTAGGCACAGGAAAAACAAAGAGAAGGCTTCAGAGGCTTCGGTCATTCTAAAAGACAACTTGGAGCTCCAGAACTTCCTCCAGAACTGCCAGGAGGTGAGACTCTAGGAAGGCAGACCACTTTGCAGGAGATTCCCTTCTAGGAGCAAAGTGCCCTAGAGGTAGAAAGTCTGTGGTAGGTAGAAAGGGGAGGCACCTGGCTGGCTCAGTCAGAGGAGCATGTAGCTCTTGATCTTGGGGTCATGGGTTTGAGCCTCAAGTTCAGTGTAGAGATTACTAAAATAAATAAATAAATAAACTAAAAAAAAAAAAAAGAAGAAAGTCCATAGGGATCCTTTCTAAGTTGGGAGTCTGGAATTTCATGAGGGGAACTCTGGGTATTTGATAGCTTAGGTCATCCTCTAGAATTTTTGATTCTATAATTTTTCCCCAAAATCTACAAATTTTAATTTGCCTAGTCTAGGGCAGGGTTTCTCAAAGAGTGGCCTAAGGGCTCTCTATATTAAAGTCACCTTGAACCCTGGTCAAGGCTGGCTTCAAGGGCATTCCACCTGTGCATTCATATAGGGCCTGTGCTCAGAAGGGCACCATGCTTGGTTTAATGCTCTGTGGTTGCCATCTTGAAATTCTTAACAATTTTGAGCATTTCCATTTTGTAAATTATGGATCCAGTCTTGGCCCTTGTTAAATTTAAAGTCCTGCCCCACTCAGGCCCAGAGGAATCAGAGTCTCAAAAAGTAGAGAAGAGTGTTCTCAACAAGCCTCCTGGTTGGAGAGCTGGCTGAGAAGGTTCTTGCTCAGCCTAGGATGAGCTGTGCAAGGAAGATTTTTAACCTGCACTCCTGAGTCTCTTCATGAGCGGTACTTCTGTGTGGAATGGTGCTTTCTCTGGCTTCTTTCTCTCTCCCATCCTCATATCCCTTTCCTCTCGGCCCAAACAACTTTGTTCTCATCCACCTCTGCCCTTGGCACCAACCAGGCTTGGGATGTTGCCAGGATATCTTGGAAACGCTGGATGCTCATCACCGTTCTTCCCTCATTGTTAATTATAGGATCTGCCCCTTAGCTTCTTCCTCAGATAACATTTTCTCTCTGTTTATTAATTATTTCTCATCCTACTGCCAAAGGGTGGATTTATCTATCCATTCAGTAAACAGTCACTGAATTCCTACAGTAGGTCAGGCCCTGTCCTAGGTCCTGGAAATATGGGGAGAAGCATATATACCCTTGTGTCACACTGCATATGCTCTACTAGGGAAGACACTCAGGTGCTCGTATTTTAGCTCTGAAACAACACAGGTTAAGTTGCTGTCCAGGAGTTCGGGACCTAGAGTTTTGGAAAGTAGTACTCTGCTGTATTCATACTTCCCCTCCTTGGCCTTTTTCTGCAGCCGAGATGGGCAGCAGGTCCTGCCTGAGCCCCTGGCCAAAGAGATGCACTCAAACTCCCTCTTTCTGTCCACAGCTCACTCTCTGGATCAATGACAAGCTGCTAACATCTCAGGATGTCTCCTATGATGACGCGAGAAACCTGCAAAACAAGTGGGCGAAACACCAGGCATTTATGGCAGACCTGGCTTCCCACCAACAGTGGCTAGATAGCATTGATGCAGTAAGTAAAGCAAGTGGTAAGTGGTGCGGGCTCTCTGCTCAGATATGCTTACCTGAATGGGGATTCACACAGGGCATAGACACCATCTGAAGCTTGCTGGACAGTATAGAACCTGGAAGTGAAAAACTTCTCTAAATAGTAGTCAACCCTTCTGAGTTCCTGGTACATCCAGTATTGTTAGGCCTGGCTGGAATCGGTGCCTCCTCTGGGTCACCTGAGTCTGGAGACAGTCCAGGACACTGACGTACTGAGTTAGTGCCTCAGCATCTAGTTCCAGGACACCAGTTATCACTGTTTGCCTTCTGTCATCCTCATCAGGGCCCCAGCACTGTCCTGACCAAGGGTGAGGAATATGTGGGATGAGCAGAGTGATCCAGGGGACCATTGGCCTTCATCATTTGGATGGGCAAAACCATCAGGGAGTGGTCATTCCCCACCCCTCATAGACAGGAAACCAAGGGTCCCCCTTATAACAGGCTTGTTTAAGGGCCCAAGTCAAAATGTAGCTGGTGTTAGATCTGGGAATCAATTCCCTTTGCTCTTCCCTGCCGTGGCTGTCCAGGAAGAAGTAGGCATAGGGTCTACATGAGGCAGTATCCATAGTGTTTGAAGATGCAGGCTCTGAGCCAGACTGTTTGACTCTTCAATCTCCCTTTGCCTCAGTTTCTTCATCTGAAAAATGAGGATAGTAACAGTACATACCCAAGGGAATAGTGAACATTAAAGCACTTAGGATAGTACTTGGCATTTATTGGGCATCCAGGAAATATTGTTATTAGCAACATATATTTCTAGGCCCAAGTCATATCCTACTGTACCCACCCAAAAGGGTACATTTATGCAGGTGAAAACTGGATAGGACAAACCCAGTAACTAAAAGATGTCACCAAAAGCTACTGCACAGCCTCTGAGAAGACAACTGAAAGGGTAGAGTCCTTTCCATGTTGGTTGTACCTGGATGGATCTTAAATCTTTTTTTTTATTATTAAAAAATAATTTAGCATCACTTGATCCTGGTCTGCAACAATTCCCCATACTCCAATCTCCCTGAGTCCTTTGCCCCAGACACACCCCTCCCTGTCACACCTTCTCCTGCAAATAACTCTGGGGGTGCAGTCTTTCAGTTGAGCCTCACCTGAGTTCTAGGCAGATTCTTTGACTCCCCAATCTCCCTTCAGTTAACCCCTGGCAGCCACATGGAACAGGGCTGTTCCAAGACTGCCCAGCCTCAGATGATGAGCCTTCCTGCTTCTCCACACAGGAAGGAAAGCAGCTGATGGAGGAGAAGGCCCAGTATGCAGCCCGGGTGTCCCAGAGGCTGGAAGACTTGCACCGGCTCTGGGATGAGCTTCGGGCCGCCACACTGGAGAGGGCCCAGCACCTCTCAGCTGCCAGGAGCTCCTACCTGCGCTCACAGACCCATGCAGACCTCAGCAAGTGGATCAGTGCTATGGAGGACCAGCTGCGGTCTGATGACCCGGGCAAGGACCTGACCAGTGTCAACCGGATGTTGGCTAAGCTGAAGGCACGTGAGTGGGTTGTAGACTGGGAATGTTGGAATAGGAGATGTTGGGGAACAAATCTGAAACCTGAAAGTAATTACTCCTTCTGTTCCTCTTAGCTGGGCTTGAGCCAAAATGTCTCCTGGTTCAAAACCCATCTTCTATACTCTGGTTTCTCTTCAGATCGAATAAATCTTTCGCCTTTTACAAAACCCATCTTCTGCTCCTTTGCAGTGGGTAATACAGGGATCCTGGGATTTAAATTTAAAAAAAAAAAAACATGCACGAGAAGTATAGGATAGGCACTTGTGGATTAGGAAGGATGAGTTGGGACATCCAGGGAGACTTCCTGGGGGAGACTGGGCCTTTAAGGATGGATAGGATACAGATGATGAAGAGGACGTGGGCTGCCCAGGTGCCAAAGCTGTTACCGACACTGTTCCCTTGTGTCCCAGCGTGTGGAAGACCAAGTGAATGTGCGGAAGGAGGAGCTGGGGGAGCTGTTTGCCCAGGTGCCCTCGCTGGGAGAGGAGGCGGGAGATGCAGACATGAGCATCGAGAAGCGGTTCCTGGACCTCCTGGAGCCCCTGGAGAGGAGGAAGAAGCAGCTGGAGTCATCCCGAGCCAAGCTGCAGATCAGCAGGGACTTAGAGGATGAGACCGTGAGTTGGCCGCAGACCTCACTCCCAGAGGCTGAGCCGGCAGCTGCCATCGGGATAACTGGCTGCCTCCCAGGGCAATTCTTAGCAGATGTCTGGTCCTCTCACCTTGTGACCCCAGAGCCATTGTGATGATTACGTTAAATATGAAAGAAAAGCCAGTTGTTTTTTTGTTTTGTTTTGTTTTTTTGTTTTTTTTTTAAGCCAGTGCTTTTTGAATGATAACTCAGTCATGGACTTTGGGATAGAGAGACTTTGGGTTCAGGATCCAGCTATGTTACCTTCCCCCTGTATGACCAGAAGCAAGTTACTTGGAACCTCAGTTCAAAATGTCTAAGTGTCCCCATCTGTAAAATGGGGACAAAACCCTGATGGGGCCTTGGGAAGAACCAGGCAGACACAGCAGGAGAGAGCTCTATCTGACCCAGGGTGGTGAATGCTCAGGGAAAGGGTGGCAATGATTGTCATCAGCTATCCCTGCCTTCTGATTTCTACAGCTCTGGGTGGAAGAGAGGCTGCCTCTGGCCCAGTCAGCCAACTATGGCACAAATCTACAAACCGTGCAGCTGTTAATGAAGAAGAATCAGGTGAGTCCTTCTTCACTTGGTAAGTACCCCCACCTGTCCCTGCCCTGCCCATGCCCTGCCCAGGGCAGAATGCCCAGCCCAGCCCTGACCTGTAGAAGGCCAACAACAGCCAATTATTGTTCTTGTTGGTAGCTATGGGGCCCCCAGATCCATAAAAAGAGCAGCTTAGGTGATGGCAGAGAGAATTCTGGGAAGTACATGGCAGGGCCAGTGCTGGTAAGGGATTGTCCAGATGCTTTGGGTTTAGAGCCATTCAGAACCATCAGAGCATAGATGAGTGAGTACAGGACCCAGAGGCCCTAGCCTGGGATTTAATGTACTTTATTACTTCTGTATCCCATGGCCTCCTGGAAAGGAAGCCCAGAGCTCCTGGTTTCTTTCCCAGTACTGATTTGCCCCTCTTCCAGGACTGAGCCTGGCCTGTTAGGTATCCTCAGGGCAAGTAGTTTCCATTTCTTTTGCCACATGAGGATACTCATGGGGCTCAAACCCCATTAGGAAGCCACTAAACTCGGTCCCTGAGCCATTGGAGTAATACCATTTGCTGTTCTGCTCTTTCTTAAGCCTAATGGGTAATTTCTGTGGCCCTGATCAAACCAGAAATGAGCAGATACTATACTTCCTCCTGTATCGGGACTATGAATATCCTCTTATATCTTCTACGAAGGCCAGTTGTATGGACTTATGGTGCCTCTGTGTCCAGCCAGGGGCTGGCCACAGACCCTGCTCTTGAGTAGAAAGTCACTCCTCCTGCCTGATCTACCCTCTGGGTCAGGAAGTGGGGGCAGCCACAGCTGAGAGCAACGAGAGCCTGGGAACATATCCCAGAGAAAAGCAGTGTGTCCCAGAATGCCAGTCAATATTGAGCTCCTTGGGGAAGAAAGGTCAGGGCAGACAGTACTTCCTCAAAATAACAGCATCTGACATCTCACAGCGCCCAGAAACTGTGCGAGGATCTGATTTACATTTGAAGAGGTGTCTGAAAAGCTCCCTCCAACCCTTTGCTTCCAGTTGATATGACCTAGTCACAAAGGCTCCAGTGGGCACAGGCAGGGTTTTGGGCTAGAAGGTAATGGGTAGGTGTTAAATTCACACCACAACCTCCAGTTAAAGGTAGAAAACAGTATACTTGGGGCCTCAGGTTCCTCAACTGTAAAATGAGCCAACATCTGTCCTTCTAACACCCAAGACTTTGATTCTGTCTGGCCTCAGTGTCATTGCCTAAAAGATTCTCAACTACCCTGGATGAAGATTGCTGTTTCAGGAAAAGGGCAAGACAAATATGGATGGGATTTCCCTCACCGAGAAGGGGAAGATAGTCTTTTGGGAGAGCATGGCTGGCCTAGTAAAGATAACTCTAGGCTAGACTGGCTACAGCTTAAGTCTCATTTTATCATTCCCTCTACTGTGGTGGTTCTCAAACTTCAGTATGCACCAGGCTCACCCAGAGGGCTTGTTAAAACACAGTTGATTGACAAGGCTCCGTCTCAGGTCTACTGAATCAGACTTTGGGAGTAGAGCCTGATAATTTGCATATCTATCAATATCCTAGGTGACTCTGATGCTGTTGGTCTGGAATCCCACTTTGAGAACCACTACTCTAAAGGTTATCCATTGCAACTAGAACAAATCCTGCGTGGTACCACATGAATGGTTCTTGACTCCAGCTGTGCATTAGAATCACCTAATTCCCTAATTGGGGGAACTTTTAAACCTATAAATGCTCAGTTCTTACCTCAGATCAATTACTTAAGACCCCTGAGGATAGGGCCCTATGTATGTTTTCCCAGATTATTCAACATGCAACCAGGGTTGAGAACCTCTGTCCCACCTGATCTGGCTCCTGTCTTCCTCTAAAGCTCACTTCTCATCACTTTGACCCTCCATCATAGTATTCTAGCTTTCCTGGCCCTCTCTCTGGCCTGTAGATAGTCTTGGCTTGCTCCACCCCAGGGACTTTACACTCGCTCTTCCCTCTTGCTGGCAACACTCCTCCCCCAAATCTTTGTGTGGTTGCCTCTTCCTCACCACTCATGCCTCACTCAATGCCATCTCCTCAGAGAGCCCCTTTCTGACTTCCCCAGCTCAAGGAGCCACCAGCACACCTCGGCAGACATTCTCGATCTCGTTGGGGTATTTTTCTCATAGCACCCAGTATCCACATTTATTCACTAATTTGCATGCTTGCCGTCTGCTCCCTCTCCAACAGTGTAAGCTTTATGAAGGCAGGGGTCTTGTTGATCTTGTCCCTTGTTGAGAATGAGGCCCAGGACTTAGGAAATAACTGCATAACTGTGTGTGGGACACATGACGTAGGAAGAATATGTCATAAAGGAAGCACACTGCACAGAAGCCTAGAGAGGAATTGCTTTAAAAGAGAGAAAAACCTTTTAGGATCCCTAGCAGAGGTGGTAAGATCCCAGGGAAAGAAAGAGGCACACAGAGCTGACGCCATGGTTGTTTGAGTTCAATTGCATAGACTACGCAACAGTGTCAGGATTGAGATTCTGAATATAAAGGTAAAAATACATTTCAGCTAGTTAGGTGGCTTGTGGATATGACCGGTTCTGTGTATTTTAAATACTGACAGTCACTGTACTGCTCTTGTGTACTGCTCTTGCCCCCACCCTCCAGATGGTTTTATTTTTTATTTTTTATTTTTATTTATTTATGATAGTCACAAAGAGAGCTAGAGAGAGGCAGAGACATAGGCAGAGGGAGAAGCAGGCTCCATGCACTGGGAGCCCGATGTGGGGTTCGATCCCAGGTCTCCAGGATCGCGCCCTGGGCCAAAGGCAGGCGCCAAACCGCTGCGCCACCCAGGGATCCCCTCCAGATGGTTTTAAAGGCCATGGGGAAATTGTAGAAAGGGAGGAGATTAAGTGTAAGGAGCCGAGAGCCCACATGCAAGAAGCAACTAGGCTCGGACCCAGAAAGTGAGTCACTCATGGGTAATGGCCCATGGAAGAAAAAGGTGATCTAGTCACCCGAGAGAGTGGAAAATGCCATTTTGGTGACCACGTGTTTAAGTAGGTAATAATACAAGGTTCACAAAAGATTTGAGAAATAGAAATGGGACGGAGAGCCAAAATCCTAAAATCTGGACAAGGAGTAACAGTCAACTCTTGTCTCACATGGAGCCAGGGATGCTAAAATAAGATGTCAAAGGCCATTTAAACATTGTTTTCCTTTCTCCAACACGTACAGCTAAGAAGCAGGCTGTGCTCAGACGCAGGAAGAATAGGGAGCAGAGAGAGCCAATTTCAAATGCCAGCACTGTCACTCACTGCCCACAAGTTACTTAACTGCTCCGCACTCATCCTAGAAGGCTGCAGGGTGGCAGACGGAGAATACTGTGGCGTGCCTAGCACTGTGCCTGGCACATGGTCAGGGGCAGTTTTTATGGCCACCACCTGCTCTGCATTAGCTTCCCTGAGTGGGAGGCTGCCAAGGTGCCAGAGGTGGCCCTGGGTGACCTGATGCAGGCCTGGCCCCCTACATAGTGGGGAGGCCTCACCTCCGAGCCCTTCCCCTCTGGCCACAGACGCTCCAGAACGAGATCCTGGGCCACACACCACGGGTAGAGGACGTGCTGCAGAGAGGGCAGCAGCTGGTGGAGGCGGCAGAAATCGACTGCCAGGACATCGAGGAGCGCCTGGGGCACCTGCAGGGCTCGTGGAACACACTGCAGGAGGCGGCGGCCGGGCGGCTACAGCGCCTGCGGGATGCCAGCGAGGCACAGCAGTACTACCTGGACGCAGGCGAGGCCGAGGCCTGGATCAGTGAGCAAGAGCTCTACATCATCTCCGACGAGATTCCCAAGGTTGGCCCGGGCCGGGGGTGCCAGGCTGGGAGTCAAGGCCAAGAGGAAGAGCTGGGGCTGGGCAGTCAGTGGGCAGCCACCCAATGACAGTCCAGGTGTGTGAGGACACCCGCCGCAATATACGCCCTGCAGCCGGGTGCCCCGTTTGCCAACTTAGATAGGATCTAACCCAAGATTTACTCACCTTTTTCGTGCCACGGATTCTGTACTGATGGATTGCCATGGGAGGGAGGGGGAGATGAGGTGAGGTGTCTCTAAGGAGGTCTTTATGGGGCCAGAAGATCAGAGCTGGACCTGGGAGGATGGGTAGCAGAAAAGAATCAAGAGGAAGGTAGGGTATTGCTGGGAAATAAGTATCAGGAAGGAATCATGCACAGTTCTCTTGTGAGGGTCCCACGAGCCTGGCTGCACCCCACCCCTCACCCCTGTCTCAGGCACCTCCAGGAGCAGGTGCCCTGACAGTCATGCCTCCTAGGATGAAGAGGGTGCCATTGTGATGCTGAAGCGGCATTTGAGGCAGCAGCACACGTTGGAGGAGTACGGAAGGAACATCAAGCAGCTGGCTGGCAGGGCCCAGAGCCTGCTGTCTGCAGGCCACCCTGAGGGGTGCGTGTGCCACCTGGAGTGATTTGGCTGGGTCACGGGCATCGGGCCGGGGGCCCCACCAAGCGGGATCCTCTCAGGTCCCAGTGGGAAAACAGCAACAGGTTCTGGGATGACTGGGTTTGAGACAACTGCTTTCTGGAAGGCTGATTGGTCCAATTCCATTTCACGCCTTGTTTTTTTTTTGTTTGTTTGTTTGTTTAAGTTTTCTCTCTTTCTTTCTTTTTTTCTTTTCTTTTTTTTTTTTGTAAGATTTTATTTATTCATGAGAGACACAGAGAGAGAGAAAGGCAGAGACACAGGCAGAGGGAGAAGCAGGCTCCATGCAGGGAGCCCGACATGGGACTCAGTCCCGGGTCTCCAGGATCAGGCCCTGGGCTGAAGGCGGCGCTAAACCACTGAGCCACCCGGGCTGCCCTCACGCCTTGGTTTTGCATGAGTAACTTCAAACAAGGCCAACAGAGACCTAGTTTGCAAAAAGATCAGAAAATGGGGTAGAAAACTATACTCTCTTGGTGAATCAAGAGCTCCAATCTCCTGAAGAGTTAGATTATGCCAAGAGATACTCCAGAGTAACTTTGCTCTTCCCTTTATGGTCCAGAAGGTACTTCAGGATCTCACTGTGTCTCAGAAAAATCATTATATAGGTGTGAAGATAGAAAATCCCACCTGTCTAGCCAGTTCTGCAGATGGGTGCCCACTGGGCCAGACACCTCAGGCTGCACTCCCCAGGCCCGGTCCTGTCCTCAGCTCTCTGCAGGGCATCCACAGCTGTGGGGCTTCAGCAGCCACCCTAAGGATTGTGCCCCTGGCCCTACAGGCCCCATCCGGGCTGCTGCGTCATCGGCCTCCTTGGGGGAACAATGAGGGACTCCCTTTTTGTCTCTCTGAGCCTCCCAGAGTGAGGGACAGGGGTAGGAGGCATGGTGTCCAGCCAGGACACGTTTTTGGACCTCCCCTGAGGTGTTGTGGCCTCAGGGATGGCTCCTTTCTTTGCCAGCACTTCCTGGGAAAAGCTGCTGTCCTTTCTCCTCCCTTGGCTTCATCTATCCCTGCCATGGGGCTGGGGAGTTGTAGATCGGCTCCTCTGAGCTGGCTGCTCAGGGCTCTCTGCCTTTATCTCTGAGTGCTTTCTCGTTTGGAATTCCAGGGAGCAGATCATCCGACTTCAGGGACAAGTGGATAAACATTATGCTGGGCTGAGGGACGTGGCAGAAGAACGCAGGCGGAAGCTGGAGAACATGTACCACCTGTTCCAGCTGAAGAGGGAGGCAGATGACTTGGAGCAGTGGATTGCAGAAAAGGAGCTGGTGGCCTCTTCCCCTGAAATGGGGCAGGACTTTGACCATGTTACTGTGAGTACTCACAGTAACTGCTTTCCCTGTCTTCTTTGAAGCCCTAGACACAGGAGCAGTCATCCCAGACACACACACACACACACACACACACACACACACACACTCCTGCATAGAGATGGAGACACACCAGTGTGAGCTTAGGCTGCCCTGGTTGCCACTTTGAGAAAGTCTGCAGCTGGGGTCATGACAAGGCCCTGGGGCCTTAATAACCACATTTCTGTTTATCCCACATCCAGCTGCTCCGGGACAAGTTCCGGGACTTTGCCCGGGAGACTGGGGCGATTGGGCAGGAACGGGTGGACAACGTGAACCTCATCATCGAGCAGCTCATCGACGCAGGCCACAGCGAAGCTGCCACCATCGCCGAGTGGAAGGATGGGCTGAACGAAATGTGGGCGGACCTGCTGGAGCTCATTGACACGCGCATGCAGCTGCTGGCCGCCTCTTATGACCTGCACCGCTACTTCTACACGGGCACGGAGATCCTGGGCCTCATCGATGAGAAGCACCGTGAGCTGCCTGAGGACGTGGGGCTGGACGCCAGCACTGCAGAGTCTTTCCACCGGGTGCACACCGCCTTTGAGCGAGAGCTCCAACTGCTGGGCTTGCAGGTAACTTTTGCCCCTTGCTGCCCACCTGCAGGCTCCAGGGACCTGCCATCCACCTCTTCCTGGGGACCCTGGGCTGTCAAGGCCTCTTCTGGCTTCTAGAGGTGAACCCCCAAGAATGGACACCAGGAGATCTCACCTCTGTAGAAAAGCAACAGCTCAGGGCCAAAAGGCTGGGGGCTGTGGCCTTCACTCATTTTTTAGCTTGAAGTAGTTCTTCAAACTGAATCCTCAAAAAAACCCAAAGCATAAAATGCCTTAAAAGACTCTTTCTCTGGTGATGCAACAGTGTGACAAGTGAGCACACGTATGGTGCTTTTCTAGCACCAAGTACTGCTGTCAGCGATACATGTAGTCACGGACTTCCCATAGCCACCCTCCAAGGTAGGTACTAGCAGTATTGGCATTTTACAGATGAGGAGAGCAATGCACAGAGAGTAAACAAGTTCCCCAGAATGTGTTAATAAACAGTGGTGCTGGGATTCAGATCCTGGCATCCTGGCCGCAGACTCCATGCTGTCAGCTACCAGGGTGTTCAGTCTTTCTACATGGGAGCTAGAGGGACCCCAGGATCTGCTTAGACCCTCTCCCTCTATCACTGGGGTGCCCCTGAGGCACCTCTGCAGGTCCATAGGGCTCCATAGGACTTAGCATGATGGAAAGGGTGACGGCAAGGGGCCCCTGCTGCCAGGGCCTTGGCAGCCTTCCAGAGGGCCCAGGAGAGACAGGCTAACTGTGGAGCCCACACCCACCCAGCGGGGTTTAGGGGTAGGACACCAAGGTGGGTCCTGCCCTGGTTCACTCGGAAGAAAACCTAGAAATTTGTCTTCCAGCTGGAGATGGGGCCTGCCATGCCCCATCTTGTGCTTTGGGGGTGCCACAGCCCCTGAGGTGGGCACAGGCCACTGAAATCTCAGGAATGAGGCTTCATAGGTATAGCCCCTTCCTTGAACAGACAGCAGACAGAATGGTTAAGAGCAGGGACTCCAATCTGCACCCCTCTCCTAGTGTGAATGACTCAGGCCACTCACTCTGGCTCCCTGTGCCTCAGTGTCCTCATGTCAAAAACAGGGATCACAATAGTACCTCTTTCATAGGGTGCCTATGAAACATGCCTGGCCCATAGGTACTCTTATTACAGTATTCTTGGGGAGATCACAGGGCAGAGAGTCCCTTTCACTCCCATATCCTCATCAAAACCCAAAGGATGGCTTGGGTCCACAGAGGCCAAACCAGGGAGCCTTGTCCCCCAGCATTGGTGGGAGGCTGAAGATCTTGCCTTCCAGAAGAGCCCTGGGAAGGAAGACCTGAAGGAGACAGACCCCTTGCCCATCAGAGGCCAGAGACATGTCTTTCTGGGGAACAATGTCCAGTTTTGCCCAACCACAGGTACAGCAGTTCCAGGATGTGGCCACCCGCCTGCAGACGGCATACGCCGGGGAGAAAGCAGAAGCCATCCTGAACAAGGAGCAGGAGGTGACTGCCGCGTGGCAAGCACTGCTCGATGCCTGTGCCGGCCGCCGCACCCAGCTGGTAGACACAGCAGACAAATTCCGCTTCTTCAGCATGGTCCGAGACCTCCTCTCCTGGATGGAGAACATCATCCGACAGATTGAGACCCAGGAGAAGCCCAGGTAAGGGGTGACATCCTCAAGGCAGCCCCACGCCTCAGCTGCTTTGTCCCAGAGGCTGGCAGACCAGGGCATTGCCCGAGGACTCCTCCTTGGAGGGGTGGTCTTGGACTGTGGGGGCATCTGGGGCTGGGTCCAGGCAGAAACTGGGCAGCTCGGCATCTACTGGAGGGACCGACCATTTCAGAATGAAGGGAGCCCTAAGAGTGGCAAGAAAGACCTCTGCCATTCAGACCTGATGACAGCAGGGCAATGACCACAGCTGTCAGTGAAAACAAGTGCTTCACACATCTGTAGCTAGGCAGGTCCAGGACTGTGCACTCTTCCCCCAGGGCTGGGGTGTGGAGGCCGTACCCCCCAGCTTAGGAAGGAGCTTGTTGTCCATGATGGGTAGGGGCAGGCTCATGGCAGTGAGACCCTTTGCAGGGAGCGGCTCTCCACGGACTGTCTTATTGGCAGAGGTCGCTGGCCCATCTATGTCCCTCTGCCCTCAAGTGCGTGTCCCAACGGCCAAGACTATATATATATTTTTAAGTTTATTCACGAGAGACACAAAGAGAGACAGAGGAAGAAGCAGGCTCCCTGCGGGGAGCCCAATATGGGACTTGATTCCAGGACCCTGGGATCATGCCCTGAGCCGAAGGCAGACACTCAACCACTGAGCCACCCAGGCATCCCAAGACTGTATATTTTACATCTTTATTCAGAATGCAATTCACATTACATACCATTCAGCCACTTAGCATGTCCCATTCAGGGGTTTTTGCATGATCACCATGTACAGCCCTCACCACAATCTAAGTTTAAAAGACTTTCATCACTCCAGAAGGTAGCCCTGTACCCCTTCACAGGCATTGCCCACCAGTTCCCTCCTCTCCCCAGCCCCTGGCAGCCACAAATCTGCCTCCTGTCTCTCCAGATTTGCCTGTCCTAGACTCGTCACAGGAAGGGAATCATACAGTACGTGGTCTTTTGTGACTGGCTCCTTTCACTTAGTGCGATCCTTTTAAGGTTCATCCACGTTGTAGTGAGTGTCAGAACTTCATTTCTTTTTATCGTCAAATAATATTCCCAGGCTTTTTTTGGGGTCCCCAGACCCCCAGCCCATCCCCTGCCAACTGACCAACAGAAGATACTAGGGCACCAGCGTTCCTGCTGGGGCTGGATTAGCAGAGGACTCCCTGGCGGCCCAGAGAGAGAAGGAAGTGGGGTCAGATTCCCAGGCAGGTGGGGGGCAGCCCTGTTGGGCAAGACTTGGCATCAGGCAGGCCGGAGTCACCCAGAGTTTCCTTCTTCCCCAAACTCCCTCCCCGACCCCTTGACCCCACCCCACCTCCCAGGGATGTCTCTTCAGTGGAACTGCTCATGAAGTATCACCAGGGCATCAAGGCAGAGATCGACACTCGGAGCAAAAACTTCAGCGCCTGCCTGGAGCTGGGGGAGTCCCTGCTGCAGAGGCAGCACCAGGCCTCGGAGGAGGTGAGAGGACAGCGGGGTAAAGATAAGCCTGTACTCTCGCCTGTACTCTTGCCAGGCCAGAGAGCTTCCTGGGAGGGAGCCGTGGGCCATGGTTTCCCTGAGGGAGACTTTCACTCACAGAGCATCGGGGTTGTGTGCAGGCCCAGGGATTAGAGCCCCACCAAACCTACCTAAGGTTGGCAGCTTAGTAGGGGAGAGCAGGCTCATCACCCACCTAACCACCCACATGCGTGCGTGCTTTGGCGTTGGCAACATCCATTTCCTAGGAGAGGCACTCGGGCCTCAGAGAGGTTAAGTCACTTGCCCAAGGTTGCACAGCTGGCAAGTGGCAGGGCCAAGACTTGAAGTGAGGTCCATGTGACCAATCCCAGACTCCTTTGCAGGACCATTTGCACACCACCTCAGACAAGGGAAAGCCCGAATTGTTCTCTCTCCCTTCCCACAGATTAGCGAGAAACTGAAGCAGGTGCTATCCAGGAGAAAGGAGATGAATGAGAAGTGGGAGGCTCGTCAGGAACAACTCCGCATGTGTGAGTGCACTGGAAAGGGTCCTGCTGAGGTGGGGGCAGGTGATTTTGATTGCCTAGAGAGAGGAGCCCCCAGAGCACCACTCATCAACAAGGTTCTGGGGCCACACACCTCAGGGGTCCACACAACAGACCCACACAGGCCCGCTGCCGGAAGCCCGCCCCTAACTGGCCAGCATGCCCTCTCTTTGCTTGCCCTCTGCTCCACCTGGGTCCAGGCAGAGCCTTAGTGGCTCAGCCTTTACTGGGAGGACACTGCCACTCGTACCAGGCCAGTATCCCTGTAGCCTGGGGAGGGGTCAGGTTAAGGCTCTAGAGCCTCCCACATGTTTGATCTGAGGCATGTCAGATCTCTGTCTTCTGCAGCTGGAGACTCAGGAGAGGTGGAAAATCCTACCACTCAGGTAGGAGCTACACATGAGTCTTGATGGCTCCAAGATTGCTTGGACACGATTGTGTGAGATAGCCAAGGGCTGGTCAGAGAGCATTCAGGACAAAAGCCTGCTCCTCGAAAGGAGACATCTAAGTTATGTTTTGTTTTCAAACTAGTATTTGTTCTAACTAATGTGTTTTTCAAATATAACTGTGGATAGAGAAGAGGAAGCCCCCCCGCCCGCCCCACATGGTGTGGGAGGGAGTGGCCACCGCTGAGCAGGGTGTCCAGGTGGTTCAGGGACACCTGTGAAGGCCTCCTGCCTGACCGCCCGCTCCTTGGCCACTGGCGGCCTCAGTGCTGCGTACTAACCGGCCCTTGGGCCCCGCGGCGGGTCTGTGGCTTGCTCTCCATGGCAGTACTGGAAGTGTGCCAGTTCTCGAGGGACGCGTCCGTGGCCGAAGCGTGGTTGATTGCCCAGGAGCCCTACCTGGCCAGCCGGGACTTTGGACACACGGTGGATAGTGTGGAGAAGCTGATCAGGAGGCATGAGGCTTTTGAGAAATCCACAGCCAGCTGGGCGGAGCGCTTCGCTGCCCTGGAGAAGCCCACTACGGTGAGCCGGGAACCAGGGAACGGACCCGCAGCCCCCGCAGCCACACCCTGGGGGGTATCTCAAGTCGTTAGGCACCCACAGTCAGTGTAAAAGGCTTGGCCAGCAGCAGAGTGGGAAGGAAACCGGAGACGTGGGAAGTACTTCTAAATACAAAAGACATAAAGGAGTAATTTCTAAAAGAACAAACACCAGGTGTGTTGGGAGCCAGCTTTAGGGAAGGCTGGTCTGACAGCAAGCAGGCTCTTCTCGGTGGCTACTCTGATACCCTGGGCCTTTTCTTCCCCCAGCTGGAGCTAAAAGAACGCCAGACCCCAGAGAGACCCGAGGAGGAGAGCGGGTAAGTGTAGGGAGGGCCAGGCGGTGGACTTGGCAGGAACCTTTGCAGAGGAGGATGGGTGGGAAGGGGAAGGAGGATACTTTAATCAGAAACAGCCCCCCTGATGTTTTAATAATGCGCATGTGACCTGTCACACCTGGGCCAGTAGCCAGAGAAATCTGGAGTGTCTGCAGCCTAGAGGCAGAGAGGAGCTTTTGTTTCCCCCAAATCCACCTTCGGGGGATCCCTGGGTGGCGCAGCGGTTTGGCGCCTGCCTTTGGCCCAGGGCGCGATCCTGGAGACCCGGGATCGAATCCCATATCGGGCTCCCGGTGCATGGAGCCTGCTTCTCCCTCTGCCTATGTCTCTGCCTCTCTCTCTCTCTCTCTCTGTGACTATCATAAATAAATAAATTAAAAAAAAAAAAAAACAAATCCACCTTCGGCCTGAAGACCTGGTGCAGAAACAACACGCGCCCCCCCCCTGCTCTGGGAGCCCCGGACTGGGAGATAGTTGGAGCGTGTTTGGGGAGCGGAGAGTGGGGAGCTGGGCCTTGAGGGGAGGCAGTGGCCTCGTCGAGGTGGTTTCTAAAGAGAGGCTGCGTCTTCCTTAGGCCTCAAGAGGAAGAAGGCGAGACAGCAGGGGAGGCTCCCCGAGGTCCACATCGCACAACCACCGAGAGGACGTCCCCGGTCAGTTTCCTGTCCTTATGGTCTGGTTCCTTGGAGTCCTTGCTGCCAGAATCCACTCATCCCTACTAGGCTCAGCCAGGGCAGAACCCGAGGACAGGCACGCACCACCCACTCTTCCAGACAATTCCTTCAGATCAGGATTCTTTTTATTTAGGTTTCCTTAATTTCTAGAATAATTCCCCGCTCCTTCCTTCACCCCAGAGGAAACTGACATGCCGGCCCACTGGCATGACTCTTACTAGTTTGATTTTACCTAGTCTAATAAATTTTATTGTACAGATACATCACCATCGACATTAGGAGAAACAGTTTATCCAGGGAAGATTTATTTTTATATACCATTCTCCCATTTTCCCTCTCATTCCATCCTTAATACAGCATGCCCCCCCACCACACACACACACACTCTCTCTCACAAATAGACCATACGATCTCGCCTGCCCCAGCCAGTGAAGTGGGGACAACCAGCCCTCTAGCAGATCCCTCCCTCCTACTCAGAGATCCCCCTCCCCTTGGTGCTCCCTGGCCTGACACCTGTGGGCTGGTGAGCTTGGATGTGGAGCTAGTTCTGAAGCAGGATTAGGCCTCAAGGAGCCCTGCAGCAGTGAAGGAAAGCCCCAGGGCTTCTGGGTCACCAGGCTAGTCCCCCCAGTTTGTAGAAAAGAAGGTGTGCATCTGAGTCCTGGCCGATGGAAGTGTTGGGAAGATCCAAGACAGAACAGCTCCCAAACGCTCGGTGCACATGGCTTCAGGAAGGAATAGGTCCATTCACTGAGAAGACCCAGGGTGTCTGTGCAGGGAGCCCAAGAGGCTGTAACCCCAGTCTGGGAGAAAGGCCCTGGAGAGCAGCTTAGAAGAAGACAACACTTCAGCCCGTGCCTTGCATGGCTCACCAGTGCATGTACCCCACCTGTCCAACTGCCTGACCCAGCTTGCCTACACCTTTAGGGAGATGGATACTCTAGATGGAGATTTCCCATACACCAACCACCCCAGAACAATCATGAATATATCCCATGCAGAATCCTGGTGAGCTCTGTATTTCAGCCCTACTCACTCTTCACACACACACACACACACACACACACACACACACACACACACCCCGCCCCCCGCCTCCAGCCTGGCCAGTCCTCCCTTTCTGAGCTGCACCAGCCTCCGTGTCCAGCAGAGGGCACTCCTGGGCTCCCAGTGGAGGGTCCCTCCCTCCCACAAGTGCCCTCTGAAGCTCCCATCATCGCATGTGGGGTCTCTGGTGGACTTCGTCCCAGGCCCCTTTTCCCCAGAGACCGCCCCTACTGGAAGGAGAACTCTGGGGGCTGCACGAACTGTGGACGCTGGGGCTGGGACTGTCCTGCACTGCCTGTGCTTGGGCTGTTCATCCCTGTGTGTCTCCATGCAGTGGTGTCCTGGGGCTGCAGGCTCTTTTGTGACCACCTGAGCAACTCTGTGATTTGTGTCGTGTACGTCTGTGCTAATGTAATTATGTGTGCATCAGAGCTGCCTCCATCCAGCACCTGAATGTCACTGGGTTTGGGGGAATAAAACGTGCTTGCACCTGAGTTTATCTCTGGAAGGAGGAAATGAGCCTACATTTGAGCCCCTTCCCAGAGAGCCAGCCACTCTGCCAGATGGGAAAGTGCCTGTGTTTGGTATGGGAAGAAACTGGATGGCAAATCAAGTGAATACCAGGCCTGAGGCCTCATGGAAACAAATTTTTCTGCTACTTCTCCTTTCTGAGCCCTTTGTTGGGTTTTTGAGGATCTGCAAAACTCCAAGGGAGGGCATGATATCCAATTGGTCTTTGATGTGAGAAGAGAGGAAAATGGGTCCCGTGCAGGCTGGGACACTTTACAGAAACCGCAGGCCTCTCCCAGGAAGGGCTGGCAGTGTGCTTTGCCCCCTCTCCGGCCTGGCCTGGGTCATGGTGGCTCTCCTGCTGTCCCGTGTGTGTGCTCTGGTGTGGGTGCCCTGTAGAGTGGGTCCATGTGATGTTGCTTTATGTGAAACCCATCACTAGTGCATGCTGGCTTCCTGCTTGGGGCAACAGATGGGAGTGTACCGGGCACCGGAACCCCTGCCTAGGCTGCTGCACACCACGGGGTGGCCAGCTTGCCGGCCCCAGCCCCGTCCTCCCCGGGTGCACGTGTCGCACAGGGACTGCAGTGCCCTGCCACGTCAGGCTCTTCCTCAAGCACATCACTGTCCAACGCATTGCCTTCCTCACACCTTCCCACATTAGAGCATGTTCTGGTAAAAAAAAAACAACCACCACAAAAAAACAATCTATTCACACAGGTAAGTATGTAAGTATGTGTGAGGCCAAGCAGAAAAAACAAGATATCACAAAAGCCAAAACTTCTGGAGTGGAAGTCAGGACGTTGGGTTCTAGTCCTTAATTCTGCTGGAAGCTTCCTGCATGATTTTAAACAAACCACCTAATCCTCCTGGGGTTCCTCACCCTTATAAAGCCCCCTTTTAGGGATTACAGAAAGTCCAGAACATTCCTGTATGTCATCAATGTACCTAAATAAAGGGAGAAGCTGGGAGAGGCGGCTTTCCCCTGCTTTCCTCTGGTCTCATCCTTAGTTTTAAGGAGCCTGTTCGCTTGTCAGGTACTAGTTGGTGTGAGACTGGAGATGGGAAAGAAGAGGTAAAGGGCTGAGGTGTTTGCCTTTGTCCTTGTTCGGGGAAGACCGGCAGGGTTGGGCCTTGGCTCCCGCCAGGGTCTGTACCCTGAAGATGGTTGGGCCCCGGGCACTGGATGGGGGCCTGGATGCTGGCTGAGCCATTCCTCTTCTTCTTTAGTGCCTGGTCCAGTGGCACCCTAATACTCCCTTCAGGGGTTGGGGTGTCCTTAAGCATTCTCACCTTCCAGGCCCAGAATCCCTGGTGTAACATCTGTGGTGAGATGTTGTGACTGCTTTCACAGAGGAAAAATGGTATTGCAGAGGATCCAAGTCACCCCAGGCATCAGGGTCCCCGGCCAACACTGCTGGGATGTCTTCTGTGCACTGCATCTGTTTCTTGGCTTTGGGATGGGAATTAGGGCCCACTAAGGAGCTCTCCCAATGGGAGGCAGCTGGGTCAGTGGGAGTGAAATCCCTGGAAAGGACTGGTGTTCCTAGGGGCCGTGGCAAGAGTCAGTCTTCAGGGTTGCCGCTATGGGTAGTCCTGCCCTGCCTGCCTTGGGGATGTGAGGCTCCTCCAGAAAGCAGCTGCTGGGTGGTATTCATTATCAGGCCCACCTTCATCAGGGGGTTGGAGGAAACTCCTACCCAAGTACAGCCCACAGATGTCACTCTTCCCGGGACCTTCCAAGACTGCCTGCAGCTGGCTGCCCCAGAGAGGACTGGGCATCTCCTGTAGGGAAGAAGGTGGAGAGTGAGCTGCCTAGGTGCCTTCCTTTCCCTCAGTCTCAGAAGTTGCTGTGACTTCAGGGAAGTCACCGGCACTTATAAATGTGGGGGACATGGCCCAGGCACCCAGCAGGCACTGGGTCGCGGCCAGAATACCTTTCAGCCGGTGCCTGGCTGGCTCCAGCTGCTGTCCCCCCTTGGCAGCCTCCCTGGTAGGCAGCCTGAAGCTTTACGCAGCGACCAGAGGCCGGGCTCCGCGGTCCGACGGACGGGATGTGGGTGTGTGTGGAGCAGCTGTGTTGCTTCTTGCCCAAGCAAGCTTTCCCCGTCCTTTCTCCCCGCCCATGAGGCCCGACGGAGCTGCTGCTTCAGGCATTTTTCAACGGATGCGAATCATATTTGTTCATAATGAGCAGAAGGGGCCTGGGAAGGACTCAGGTTTTCCCCTACACCTGGGTGTGGCCCTTTCTCCCCAGGATGCCTGAATCAGCGTTGGTGAGCAGGGCTCTGCCTGCAGCCTGGCACTGCACCCTGATGCACCAGGCAACTTCTGGACCCCTGTCCACTGCTGGATGTGCTCAGCCCTCCGTGCTGACCTTCCTGGCCCTGCCTTCCTGGTTCCAAAGGCTGCCCCTGAATTCTTTCTCCCCAGCTGTGTTTCAGAGCATCCCAAATACAGACTCAGAACGGAACCCAATTAACATTGGAGGCATCTCATAAATGGGGTTTGAAGCTGCCAACTTAAGCACTGGGGGTCGGATCTCGATGGGGGAGGAGACATCTAACTCTTTTTAGCCTTTCTGAGCGGCTGGCTCAGAGTCACCACAGGATGAAGCAGCCACCAGCTTCTCCAGGGCAGGGATCGGAAGAGCCCACATTGGTGGCAGGAAGAGTGAAGACTGCTCCCAAGGAAGCCCCACTGTCCTCCCGCCTGTGATGGCAGTGAACCAGGTCTCCCCATCCTGGTCTGAGACCTTGCACACTCCTCTCACTTCACCTGGTTCCCCCCCCCCCGCCCCATCATCTTCCCTGGTGTCCCAGTTGTCATCTCAGATGGCTGTCCCCTGGGGTCCCGTGTTGAGCCACTTTGCCCCCTCATGCCACCTCCCGCGAAAGCCCTCCACCCCAGCTGCTCCTGCCTACCTTCTCTGGAGGCACTTGTCTCTGCTCACCCTAAGTTGCCATCTCTTCATTTCTCCGGCTGCTTTCAACCCAACAAAACTATCTCTTTTTCTTCTCTTGTAAACTACTGTCTTCTGAACTGTCTTCCCAAGCTGATGGTGCACAATCCGCCCCACCCCTCTTCCAGAGGACAAGCGCCCAGGCAGCAGACACTGGGGGAGTTCCATACAGTTCTTTGCTGTGGAAGTGGCTGGCTCCCCCCACAATCTGAGTGCCTGAGGCATCCGGTGATAGGTCTTGTATGGCCCCAAGCCCCTCCTCTGGCCCCTTCAGGTTTTCTCTGCCTCATCTTGTCTCCTTTAAACCGAGAATTGCATTGGGTAAGTGCTTTCCTCTGGAGCAGTAAGTATCTGCAGCAGGATTTTGTAGGAAGAACACAGTGTGGGACCAAACAGATCTGCTTCCTCTCTGGATGTGTGGCTGAGCAAGCTGCTCAATCTTCCTAACCCCCACTTCCCTGAATCCATGAAAGTGGTCCTGAGACCTGCCTCACAGGTGTAAGTACAGGGAGAGAGACTATAGGTAGAACTTTTGGCATCTACTAGATAACTTGTCTTCATTTTTCCCTTCATTTTTGCTCTGTCCATCACTGCAGTCCTTCGTCTCTTAAAAGAAGCATTCTCCATGTGAATTCTAGCATCACCAAAGCCCTCCCAAACCAACCTTCCCAGAGCACCTCCCCCTTAGTCCCCTTGTATACACACTCTGAGCTCAGTCCTTGCTGTGAGATCAGTGGGCATGACTATCACATCACAGGTGGGATCGCTCTTCCTGAGGTGCATCCTCCTCCCCTTGTTCTTGCTTATCAGTCTCTCCTTTAGAGAGAAGGCCCCTCACTTGTGTTTCCTTGCTTGGGCTCACTGAGCATCTTCTAGAACCTCCAAAACACCCCATGGTCCCAGGCCAGGTTATTTTTCTCCTGAGAGCTGGGAGAGTTGGTCATCTGTGTGCTGTCTTCTACGCCACCAGCTGGCTGGGGCTGGAAGTACACCTTCAACTCCTTTAGTCCAGAGCAGAAATGTACGCATCTTGTCCCCCCTTCTCTCCCCTTCTTGAACCTCCTTTGTGGAGAAGACCTCCGACCCTCTGCCTACTTCCCCTGCAAGCCAGCTTCCTAGCAAGCCAGGACCCTTAAAAGTCAAGCTTATAAGATTCTGAGAAGAGGTGGCCATGCTCTGTCTGTTAGGAACTGAGGCCTCTCCCTGTCTGACTACAATCCTGTGAGATCCCCAAAGCCTCTCCTCTCTGTGCCTCTTCCTCCCAATGTCCCCCAACTGGCAGCCAATGCTGTCTGTCCCCTGCCCTCCTCTGACATCGTGATCCCAGCAGCCAGCTCACCCACCCTCCTCTCAGATGCCCCCACTTCACCCACCTGTTCCCCAAGCCAGAGAACCTGGCTCCACACTGCAGGCAGCCCCTCCCCTTATTCCAGCCCTCACCTCAGTCCATTCTCCCTCGTGCTGTCACTCCAATTTATAGTCTAGACTTCTCAACTGCTCCAGCCTGAGCCCTAGAATTTCCTCCAGTCCCCCTCTTTCAGCCCCTCGGAGTGGTATCTGCAGGCGAGGTACCCTCAACAGTACAGGTGTGATCTGTGCACCATCCTCATGAGCTAGGGACTGAAGCAGCCGACTACCTTACAACACGGAGGAGAGAAGGGAATCTTAGATCATCTCCCCTCTCCAGGGCCCTTTGGCAGGACCTGCCTGTCTCTACAGCACACATGTAGCAGCTCTGGGCCCCAGCTCCTCACCTACCATCCCCTCTTGGTGCTCTATTGTCCACAGATCCCTCCCTTGTAGGCCAAGGTGGTCTCTTCATATCCGAGCACAGCATAGTTCCAGGGGCAGCAGGAAAATGCTCACCTCCTCCTCGCCCTTCCCTAGCTTTCTTTAAGAAGACAGCACAAAGCTGTCTTCCCCCTGGGGCCTGGGAAAGAAGGTCCTTCTGGCCACCATGCCCCATCTTTCTCATCAGTGGCTCCTCCCTTGGCCCAGAAGAGCAGCTCTGCTGGCCCTAGACCTGGGAGGGGGGCATCAACTGCCAAACACTTCCACCTCTTGCCCTCATTCTTGGCTCCTCCTCAAGCCCTAGCCACGGAGGGGACAGAGTGGCTTTTAAATGATCTCCACATGAACAGTCAAGAGCACAGAAAAAAAATCTTTGCATACATTGGAAAACCCTATTTTCTCAAACCCATGACATGGCCATGTAACTTTTGATCATGCAGGCCATGGCCTCCAAATGTCCCTGCTAGGGAATGTGAGTCAGGCGCTTATTAGGCGGAAAAAGAAGAAAGGTTAGGATTAAGTTGGGAGGCAGTACTGGAAAAATCTGCCTTTATTTCAGAGAAAGGAGAGAGAACAGAAGCATGGGAAGAATATGTGGATACAGTCCCTAATAAAACCAGTCCCAGGAGGGCAGGAGCTGAGTGAGAAAGGCAAACGTGGCAGTGAGGATCTTCTCTGACACCCCACAGCAGGTGCAGGGAAAGCTCTGGCCCATAACCAAGAGGAGCATGCAGCCAGATGGAGAGGCAGGGGATGAAAAGAGGCTCCACTTTCTGCATTCATGATCCACCCTCCACCCCCACCCCCACCAAGCTTTATACCCAATCAGAGGGGTGGCCTGATTGAGGCCCCAGCAAAAGCCCAAACCCAGGCTCCCAGACTCATCCCTGCCAATCCTGCCCTTCCTTCCTGCTAGAGGATGATCCAGGCAGGGCTTTGGGGCCTCTAGATCCTTGTGGCCAATGCTAGCTCACTGCAGACACTTTTAGATACAAGTATGCTACAGATACTTAAAGATGAGTATGAGCCAGCCACAGCTCTCATGGGGCTCTAAGACAGGAAAAGACGAAAGACCTAAAGACATAATTAAAAAGACAAACAAAACAAATCCCTGGCCTAATTCTAGAGTGCATGCTGTCACTTCTGATACTTATTAGCTGTGTGGCCTTGGGTAGGTCACTTAACTTCTCTGACCATAGATTTCCTCGTAGATTGAAGGTGTTAAACGAGGTTAGTGGTTTTCTAACTTTTCAGTCATAGTATCCTTTCTTTAAAGATCTTACTGGAATCCCAACTCAAAACTATATACTGGACAGTCCTAATTCAATGGGATACTACCTTTCTTCCAACCACTGCGTCAGACATCTGCATTGAGTCCGTCCATTGCTTTACTACCATCTTAGGCAGTCTTTGGTCACTTCGAGCTGTTAAAAAGCATACCCAGTGTGTTTCGGTGTAAAGCTTCAATCTGCTATCAATGTAGTGTCCACATTCTCCCATCCACTACTTCTCTATTTCAGGTGGGATACATGGTCTGAAGGACCCACAATGGGGAGCACAGGGTCCCTGCTCTACTCTGGCTCCTCCAGGCCTCCACCTTGTCAGGCAAGAAGCAAATAGCAAAGGGGGTGGTCTCTCCTGCCTGGGGGTGGCTCTGGGCCTCCTCGGCTGAGGCCCTTGTTCTTTCACGGGTCTGGACGTAACTTGCTCAAGGACCTGATGCTTGATGCTGTAAGGTCTCTAGAAGTCAGGCCTTTGAGGCAGGGCTCTGACCAGATGGCTCAAGCTAGGCTGCCTTCGCTCATGCTCACTTGGCACACAGAATCTACCCATAGGTGCCCTTCCTGGTTGCCCCCTACTGCGGCCATCAGTCCTACCCTCTTCTGAAGATCACAAAGGCCTCTGCATATGGGGAATGGGAGGTCTGCTCCCCTCCTTGTGGATGTCTGATGTACACCCCTCACTTGGCAGGGGGCAGAGCACCCCACCACCCACAGGGAAGTACAGGGAACTAAAAGCGACAGCCTTCCCCCAAAGCAATGACTTCTTTTGTGGTGACTCTCGACTTCAGCTGCTCTTTACAGAGTGTGAAGCTTATTCAGAAACACCAACGTGCTGACCCCACTCCAGGGTGTATTTTGCTAAAGTTCCCAAGGTGACTGTAAAAGGCAGCCAGGGTTAGGAACCACTGCCCTACTCCAACAACTCCCTGTGCAAGGACGGGAGCAGGACCAGTTAGTCCAGCACTGTGACCAGGGAGGATCCAGGTTCTCCTTTATAAGGTGATAGGCGAGACTTATGGCCGGGTCTCCTTGGCTCCGGGGCCTTAGACACAAGCAGGTACCAGCGGTTTCCATTCAACATCCATTAACATGTTTTTCACACCTGTGTCAGCAGTGGAAGCCTTCATATGAAATCTTGCTGGTGCCTGCGTATAACTCAGTTGCAGGAGCAGGGGTAGGGGCCTGGAGCCACGCAGTGATCCAGGGCTCTGCCAGTAGCACCGGAAAGCCCCAGCATTGAAGTCATCACTCAGGCCCCTCCGCTTACTCAAAGAATCTCCGGTCACTACGTTAGAGGTCAGGAAGGAGTGAGGAGGGAGCCAGAGGCATGGGCAGAGTCTAGGGAAGCAGAACCAGAGAGGAACCAGGCTGGTGGGGGGTGGGGGTGGGGGTGGGCTCAGACTTCCCGGTCCTGCGGAGTAGCCACCCCTGGGTCTGAACCCCTAGCAAGGTGTGCTCCTCCCATATGCCCCTGAGCAGGGGGAAGAAGAGAGGCAGTGGCCTCAGGACCTGCAGCCGCCCCTCCCTCCAGGGCCGCAGGAGAAATCCAGTGGGGATGAGAGGCCCGCCACAGAGCCTCTCTTTAAGGTCCTGGACACACCTCTGAGCGAGGGTGATGAGCCTACAACGCTGCCAGCCCAGCGGGACCACGGGTACAGCGTGCAGATGGAGGGCTACCTGGGACGCAAGCATGACCTGGAGGGGCCCAACAAGAAGGCATCCAACAGGTGTGTGAGGGAGGGGCCCCCGGTGGGTGGGGCAGGCGGCTCCCAGGGGCTTCTCCACCTGCAGAGCCTGTGCAACACCACAGCCATGTGGTAGGGGAGAATGCTTTTTTTTTTTTTAAGATTTTATTTATTTATTCATGAGAGACGCAGAGAGAGAGAGAGAGAGAGAGGCAGAGACACAGGCAGAGGGAGAAGCAGGCTCCATGCAGGGAGCCTGATGTGGGACTCGATCCCGAGACTCCAGGATCACACCCTGGGTTCAAGGCAGGCGCTAAATCGCTGAGCCACCCAGGGATCCCCGGGAGAATGCCTTCTGAGAACTCCCGGGCCCCGCTTTGGGCCAGCATGATGGGAAGAGCATATCTTCAGTTTGAACGATGAGTTCAAACCCTATGCCCCTGTAGAAGTTACTCCACCTTCGTTTCCCCATGATGAGGAGAACCTGCCACCTTGGTACAGATTCCCAAGCCTGGCACAGAGTAGGTTCTCAGTGAATACTAGCTACTATTCTTATCCCAGGGCTGGGTAACAGGTAAGGTCTTGACAGTAACAACAGATCTTGACCAAGTCCCACTTTTTAACCAATCTGGGCTGGTTTCCCCAGCTGTCAAATAGGAGAATGGGGTTGGCATACATGGCTTCCAGAGGTCCCTCCCAGTGCTGTCATACAGCAACTCTGTGACCCTGAGGAACTCATTCGAAGGCTGTGTCCTTTCCTGGCCCTGAGGCAATTATGTCCTTGAGTTCAGTCTGTCCAGGGCTTTCTACCCAAGGTCCCTGGGGGCCTCTGTTTTCAGGCATTATGCCAGGGCCTCATGGACACAGAGCAGCATCACGAGGTTGAAGCCAGCCATGTTCCCAGGGCCAAGTGGCAGCATACAGAGTCTGGGCTGGGCAGGGGGACATGCTAAAGCTCAAATTCCAAAAATGAACCTGGGGACCCAACCACCCTGAAGTTTATTATTGATACAGAGTCCACCAGAAATGGGGAAACCAGCATTTACTGAGCTCCTACTATGTGCCAGGCTTTGTGAAGACCAATTACATCTTCACAACCACCTTGTGATATCAAGGTTTCTATTTTGCAGATAGAGAAACAATTTCAGAGAAGGCATTTGTTCAAGGCAGGATTTTACTCCAGGATACAGCTCCTCCTTAGCAACGGCCTTCCTTGGGGTACAAGCTCAAAGAAGGTAGTAAGAGCTACAGGAAAGATATATCTTTCCTGGAGGATCTTCTCTGGGTGTCAGAATCCTGGGCTCCATGAAAGGGCTCTGCTGCCAGCTTGTCCAGTACAGGTCAAGTTCTCTCTGAACTTGCTATCCTTCCTCCCTCTGTGCCCTGCATGCCTCCACCTTCCTGCCCCCTACAGGGGGGGAGGGAGGAGGACGAAAAGCTTACTGTTGCTCTGTTCCCCAGCATTCATTTCTATGAAAAGTGAAGTCACCGCATGTCCCATTGGTCAGTGAAGGGGCTGAGGTTAGCCCACACATGAGCTTCTAAGCTTGTCACCAAACATCAGTTGAGTCTTGATTTACACAAAAGTGTTTCTTAAAAAAATGCTAGGACAGTATACTGGGCATATCTCAATAAAGCAAAAAATAACCAGAACAAAATGCTACTCTATTCACAGTTCAGTGGTGAGAGTCACATATACTCATGGATGCAGAAAGGCTTTGAAAGTTAAGTTTACACAGTCGTTCTTAGATGCAATAATTCTACTTCTTAGAAATGTATTTCAAGGTAAGATCAGGGTTATAGCAAAGATTTATGTATGTTTATCACAGTGCTGTTTAAATTGCACTGTTTAAATTTCCAGTAATTACAAGGCCCATCACTAAAGGGATTATTTATATACAGAATGGGGTACCATATAGCAACTCAAAATTATTTTTAGGAAAGATTTGAAGGATATGTAAAAATATTCATGATATGTTTTTTGTTTTGTTTTAGATTTATTTTTAGAGACAGAGTGAGAGTGGGTATGAGTGGGAGGGGCAGGAGAGGGGGAGAGAATTTCCAGCAGACTCCCTGCTAAGTAAGCATGGTGCCCAACTCCCTGATGAGCATGGATCATGACCTGAGCTGAAACCAAGAATTGGATGCTCAACTGACTGAGCCACCCGTTATATATGTGAATAGAAGAAAATATATAAAATGTTAACGATAGCTAGTTTTTGGTAGTGGAATTACATGCAGATGATTTTTATTGCCTTTTTTAACTGCAAAATGTGCTATTACTTATTGGGGCAAAAATGGTGTAATAAAGAAAAAATTGGTTAAGCTGTAAGAATGGATTCCAGAACTGTTGTACCCTGTATTTTCGCAGGTCCTGGAACAATCTGTACTGTGTGCTCCGGAATAGTGAGCTGACCTTCTACAAGGATGCCAAAAACCTGGCTCTGGGGGTCCCCTACCATGGGGAGGAGCCCCTGGCCCTGAGACACGCCATCTGTGAGATTGCTGCCAACTACAAGAAGAAGAAGCATGTCTTCAAGCTGAGGTGAGGCCCTTCCTGTCCCTGGCTGTCCCTGGCCGCTTAGTCCAGCATTCGTGGCTGGATAGGAGCTCCCTGTGTGAGACCAGCTCCACGCCTAAAGTTGCCCCTCAGGGATTTTTTGAGTCAAAGGTGCTGTGCTGCCTGTGAGGGGTCTGGTCATGGGGAGGCTCCAGGCTCCAGCAGGAAACCCTTTTTTGTCAGGCTGAGCAACGGCAGTGAGTGGCTCTTCCACGGCAAGGATGAGGTGAGTGCTCGGAGGCCTAGCCCAGACCCCTGCCGACAAAGGAGCAGTTGTCTCCCTGACAACGTAAGTCCCAGGGGCACCCCCTCCCTTGTGGCCCATGACCCTCTCGGCCTGCAGGAGGAGATGCTGTCCTGGCTACAGGGCGTGAGCACCGCCATCAACGAATCCCAGAGCATCCGCGTCAAGGCACAGAGCTTGCCCCTGCCCTCCATCACGGGCCCGGACGCCAGCCTTGGCAAGAAAGACAAGGAGAAGAGATTCAGCTTCTTCCCCAAAAAGAAGTAGCCTCTCTGGCGCCCCACCGGCGGGCCGGGAGGGACTGGTGGGTGCACGGCCTGGGCCTGGGCCTGGGCCTGGGCCTGATCCCCCCGCAGCCCGTGCCGGCTGCCGCCTGCGCCTGCCTGCTCCGACTGCGATGACGGCCGGCGGCCTGGCCCATTGCGCTGCCCTCCCTGCCTCTGCCCCTGTGCAGCCCCGGCTCCCCGCCAAGGGCCAGGGCCCCTGGGGCACAAAACGGTTTCCCAGGCACCCGCCCTCCTCAACCACCCTGCTGCCCCGGCCTCCCCACCCCTCCCCCCCGCAGCCCCACAAAAGCTGGAGAAGACGAAGGAGGTTCCTCAGACGCTGCCCACTCCCAAAGCAGGTCTTGCTTGGGGCCACTTCCCACTTGGGGATGGAGGAAGGGGACACTGGAAATGCCTGACCTGCCCCTTAAGGGCATGAGGAAGGAGCTTCAGGTAGGCACACAGGGCTCTAGCTCTAGCCAAGGGGCTGCTGGAACCCAAGGGGCCTCTTCTCCACTGGGCTTACTCAGAACTGGACTCTCACCTCAGGGGCCACCACATCCCTTCCCCGTCTTCCTCTCACCAAAAAAAAAAAAAAAAAAAAAAAAAGGTGGGGGGGCACCACCCAAGGTTGGTGGGTCCTAAATGCAAGGGCCTCCTGCTGCCTCCGGTGCCCTCTGCTACCAGCCCAGGTGGTAAAAGGGAGTAAAAGCTCTCAAGCTGGTCCTCTTAACACAGAGCTGCAGAGCGCTCAAGAGGCCGAGGCGGCCAACAGACGTTGACGTGGCCCACGGTTCTGCCCCCTCCATGCTGGGATCCTCCCCGACTCCTGAACCAGCACTATCCAGCTCAGACCCAAGGTCCCTTAGGGATAGTACAGGTCCCAGAGAGAGAAGACGGGTGCCAGCACCTGCAGTAAAGCATCCCAAAGCCAAAGGCCCAAGGTGTCTTGGCCACAGCTGGCACCACCTGAGGGTCCTGGCTGGACAGACAGTAAATCTCATGACCTATCACTCTGGGGTGGCAAACAGAACCACATCTGGGTACTACCCATGTGACACAAGCCCCAGCCAACTGGGACAAATGCTGTATGGCACCCCTTGCTCAGCTTCTCCTGAAGGTCCTGGTCTTGCGGAAGTCACCAAAGGTCACCAAATATCTAACACCCCCTTCCTCAAGCACAGCCAAAACGAGCCCTGGACCCTATTTTCCCAGAGACAGCCTTCCCCATGTTGTTTGGATCAGACTTCTGGAGGGAAGAGGGCACTTGTTTCAACAAGTATCTCCCCCACCTCTCTGAAAGCAATACAGCTCCAGCCCAGCATCGTATCTGGGTTTAGGTTCAAAAGAGGGGTCAAATTGGGGGCAGCAGGTGTTTCCTGCTGAAGAGACCATAAACATCCCTGGGGCCTACAGCTGCTATTCCATCACCTTCCTTATGAGGAGCCTTAGACACACTGAGATGATTCCTCTGGAAGGGGGTGAGGTTCAGGTAGCAAATACAGAGGTACATATGCAGTGTTACTAGGCCTTCCCAGGCAGGAGCCCCTAGTTCAGGCACAACTTAGAGATCAATACCTCCCTGTCAAGGGGAAGCTAAGTTCTTCAGTGGAGCTTGACATCCCCAGATCAGATGATCCCACCTTTGTAGCCAGGGTCTTCATTTGGCCTCTATGCATCTAATCCTACAACCCTCTTTGCTTCTACAGGGAAGCTAGTATATACCATTCACCAGCCTCCTCCTCCATCTGGGGAAACCAAGGCAGGAGGCAGTGAGGTGACTATAATCACCTGGCAAGGAAGGAGGCCTCTGATGCATCTGAGGGGATGTCCTGCTCCAGGGCAAACAGCACGTTCCTTACTGAAGAGCAGGTAGTGGCAAGAGTCTTCCTCAATTCTTTCCCCAGGCCAGTCTTTAGGGAGACAAGGGACCCCCTCCCCGCCCCTCCATTTGTGCCAAAGTAGCAACTGACGTGAGAAATCTCCAGCAAGTAACTCCATGGTCCAAAGAATGAAAGGGCCCCAAAGGATGAGGTAGGATTTCACCACCCCAGGTCCCCCAGACTGGGCAGTGGCAGCCAGCTGCATGTGACCCACCATCTATTGCCAGTGCCCCACACATCCCTCTCATATCACACAGGCCCCAAGACAACCCACAGGACTGAAGCTACAGGAGCCTAGCTTTGGGAGATTGTGCCACATGGGACTAAGCTCCTGGTGCCCTGGCAAGGGTTTTCCCCTCCTTACATTTTATACTTTGCAGTCTCTTAACAGTATTCCCAAACTAGGTCAACACAGCTCCAGTCCACACCAGCATAATAGGCTTCCTCCCAGGGCAGCTTAGAAGAAGCTCCTTCTGGGCATGGTCAGGTGGTCCTTCTTCCCTCTCTCCATCCCCTTCATCCCCTGGCCTCAACTGATTGGCTGAGGGAGGGTGTGGAGGGTCTTTAGGCTTCCCCTCCAGCCCCCACAACTAGCACCCATAACAACAGGAAGCTTGTGGAAGGCTCAGTGTCCCCACCACATCACTTCTCTCTCCTGCCTATCGGAGGGCTACCAGGGTCCCCAAGGTTGGTCCTGGATCTCTCTCCCCTCCCTCTAGTGGGAGGGGGCAAGGATCCAGAGGACCATATGGCTTGGTCCCTTGGACAAGCAAGCTCAGGGAGGACATAAGGGAGGAGGCAGCTACACAAGACTGCACCCCTGTTGGGCACAGACCACACAATCTGGCGCCGACCCTGGGGCCAGCTGGGCCTTGTCCTCCACCTGCTCAAATGTGCTTCCACCAACCAGAGAAAACCCATTTACTAGTTTTTCTAATAAATCAATAATGCTCCATCTTTCTCTCACTTATTTGACTAGTTTTGTTTTCCTTTGAATTGGACCACAGAGAGGTAGCTGAGTGTGCAAAAGGGTGGGGGGGGGGAACCACCATGGAGACAGAGGGAGAGCCAGAGTCTCTGGCTTGTCCCTGGGGACCTGGGGAGTCTTATGCCCATACGCAGCTGCTGTGCCTTGCCTGAGACCTTGCAAGAAGCTCGCTCATTCATGCATTCGACCATCTTGAGGGTCTGCTGCAAGCCCGTCCCCACAGAGCTCTGGACAGAGATCTTGGCCGTCACTGGACATCAGAATCACTAGAAGTGCCACGCCCGAGATTCATCTCCAGGGGGGTGATTTCTTTTGGTCTACGTGGATGAAACTGGCATCACCATTTTTCAAAAGGCTCCACTGATGACGCTCATTGGTAGTGAGAACCAGTGAGCTAGATCAAGGTTCCAAGTCAAATCTAGATGGCTAAGGATCACCTGGGGAAAGTGTTCGCTACAACTGAAAAGGCTGAGTCAGGGAGTTCGAGAAGCAGTACATTATCCATTTTCTTCAATTCACAGATGAATTGGGTGACGTGGCTAGACTCTCACTCCAGTAGCTTTATGGCTACTGAGAGCATCATACCCCAAGCCTGGTAGGAGCTAACTATCCTCATCAACAGTGGAGGTGGCCACAGAACATTCAGGGTAGAAGGTAGGCTACCTCTGCCCTGTCTGCTTCTGCCTAGGAGAGGCCTCCCCTGGCCTCCACTCTTCTCTTGACCTCTTTAGGGACTCTGCACAACCGCCTTCAGGTTGAGTCTCTCCTCCAAGATCAGAAGCTCACACAGCCCTGATCCAGCAGACCTGTGGGAACACTTGCCTGTAGGAAAAGGACCAACAAAAGGAAAAGGTCCACCACAGACAAAGGGCAGAAAGCCCAATTAGAAATAGGCAGGTGGGGGATCCCTGGGTGGCGCAGCGGTTTAGCGCCTGCCTTTGGCCCAGGGCGCAGTCCTGGAGACCCGGGATCGAATCCCACGTCAGGCTCCCGGTGCATGAAGCCTGCTTCTCCCTCTGCCTGTGTCTCTGCCTCTCTCTCTCTCTCTCTCTCTGTGCGACTATCATAAATAAAATAAAAAAAAATAAAAAATAGAAATAGGCAGGTGGGACACTTGGGTGGCTCAACAGTTGAGCATCTTCCTTTGGCTTAGGGCGTGATCCCGGCATCTTGGGAGCAAGTCCTACATTGGGTTCCCCACAGAGAGCCTGCTTCTCCCTGCCTTTCTCTGTGTGTCTCTCATGAATAAACAAAATCTAAAGAAAAAAAAAAAAAAGGAATAGGCAGGCATCCCAGCCCTTTTGAGGAAAGACACATTGAGAATAGAAAGAAAAAATGCATTTGCTCTCTTCACACCATGTTGCAAGCCACCTTAAGATATGTCTAGGCTCTAAGTTTAGAATCCTGGCCTCCTACAATGTCTCCTGAGAAGTAGAGAGAGAGAAAACACAGAAGACGTTAGAAATTTCTGAATGTCCCATTCATTTTCCTCACCTGTTTTAGTCCAACTTTGGTCCTTGAGGAAGAGAGCTCAAGGCTGGCACAGTGCCTGCCCCTGCCAACAGGACACCAGGCAAAGGTGGACAGAGAACAAGTTCCCTCCTGCACATCCCACGGCCCCCACCTCCCCTGCAAGCACCCTAGTGCCTTAGGCTTCATGAGCACGGACGATGGAGGAGAAAATGTGGATGCAGCCACCACCACCCCCAGCCCGCCTCCCACCAAAGACACCCTGACCTCGGTCAGCTCTCCCCATCCCAGCAAGGCCCAGTGAGGAGCCACACATGGGTGGTTGGTCAGCAGCGGTTATTGCACCATTGGCAAATAATGAAATGTATATACATTAGCGACAACCACAGAGTCAGCAAGACAATCTACAAAAGTACCTGAACCAAGTCCATTACATTCTTCACGGGAGAGGAATCAACAACGGAAGAACACACACTCAGGAACACGTGTGCACACAAATACACCACAGAATGGAAAGCAATAAATTATGGGTCTTGTTCCTGCCTGGATCCTAAGAAAAGGCACAATTAAAGAGCAAAGCCTCCCCAGGCCACCTTCCCCCGTCTCCTCAGCCCGGCAGTGGTCAGCCCAGCACTGGAGGCCTGAGCAGGGCTTGCTCTCACCAGGAAGAGGAGAGCTTAAATATCTGGCTTCTTACCAGAGAAGAACTATATATGAGGGAAGTGCCCACACTGGCCTCGGTGGGAAGAAGGGCCTGCAGAAGTCGCCATGAGCCCAGGGAAGTGCCAGGGCATTCCCAGCAGGTGAAGACACTTGCTGAGTACCCCAGAGCATCCTCTCAGGGGCTCACGTGGGCAGGGTGAGCGCAGGCTTGTGGGCAAGCACTCCAAGGTTCCTCAGAGTTCCCCTGCCACACGGCTCCTCCTGGGACTCAGAGTCATCCTATGGAGTTCAAGGCCTGGAACTTCTCCCTCAAGTTTCTCACTCTGCCCTGCTGGCCTGGGTCCGCTGGGTCCCTGGGACCCTCTTCCTTTGGCCAATACTCCGGGCTCCTGGAAACTCCAGTCTCCTGGAAATCCAGGCCCTGTCTCATTGTGGCTGCTGGTGAGCTTGGTCCCTGCCCACTGTGCTCCTCCAGCCCCGCAGCGGGGCAGGGCAGGGGCCCCTTCTCCATGACGATCACCCGCTGGTTGTTCTCCAGGGTGAGGTCTGCGGTGACATACAGGGCTTCCTCTTCAACCGGCCTGCTTTGGGGCAGCATCCCGGGCAGCTGGGGCTGGGCGGCCTCTGGGCCCGGCTGGCCCCTCCTGGCGCCCACACTGCAGCAGCGGCCCACCCTGCCCGCCGGAGGGGGCTCCACCATGTTCTCGGGCACCGAGCGGCTCCGGTTGACAGGCGGGCCGCGGGGCCGGCTGCCCTCAGCCTGGAAGGCCTCGTCGTGGGAGGCGTACTTGGAGCAGAGCTCTCGGACATCGGGCCAGCTGAAGGTCTCAGTGTCGAAGGGGCTGAGGGGGCTCCGAGAGGAGGGCCGGGGCCCCGGTGAGCTGGCCTTCGGGCTGGGGCTGAAGGGGAAATGCCGAGGCGAGCCGGGCTTGGGCGGGCTGTGCTCCTGGGCCGCCGTCTGCTCGTGGTTGAGGAGGGACAGCACCGGCTTTCTCTTACCTGTGAGGAGAGAGCGAGCGGACTGAATCCCTGAGCAGGAGCGGGGAGGGCAAGTGAGGACGCTGCACTGCCGTGGGCTCACGTTCCAGGACGGCTGCTTGCGGGGCTTTGGTTGGGAAGGGAGAAAGCACATTCACCTTCCACAGCCCCTTTTGTTAAAGGGCAATGAAAGGAGGTGCCTGGAAGGGCTCAGTTGGTTAAGCATCTGCCTTCGGCCCGGGTCATGATCCTAGGGTCCTGGGATAGAGCCCCGCGTCAGGCTCCCTGCTCAGTGGAGAGACTGCTTCTCCCTCTGCCTCTACCCCTCCCCCTGCTTGTGCTCGCTCTCTCTCTGTCAGGTAATAAATACAATCTTTAGAAGGAGAGGGCGGGGATCCCTGGGTGGCTCAGCGGTTTAGCACCACCTTCGGCCTAGGGAGTGATCCTGGATCCCAGGATCAAGTACCCTGTCGGGCTCCCTGCATGGAGCCTGCTTCTCCCTCTGTGTCTCTGCTTCTCTCTCTGTGTGTCTCTCATGAATAAACAAACTATTTATTTTTTATTTTTTTTTATTTATTTTTTATTTATGATAGTCATAGAGAGAGAGAAAGAGAGAGGCAGAGACACAGGCAGAGGGAGAAGCAGGCTCCATGCACCGGGAGCCCAATGTGGGATTCGATCCCGGGTCTCCAGGATCGCACCCTGGGCCAAAGGCAGGCGCCAAATCGCTGCGCCACCCAGGGATCCCTAAACAAACTCTTTAAAAAAAATTTTTTTTTAATAAAAAAATAAAAATAAAAAGAGAGGGCAATGGGAAGAATGAAGAAAAGACAGTGAACAAGGAGTCAGGAGTCAAAGGAAAAGACGAGAGCCTCTACTCTTCTGGTAGAGAGGGCCTATAGCCACATTCTTCCCAAGCCTCTGCTCTAGAGGAAGGGCTCAGGAGGGACAGGGACAGGGCTCAACCAAAGCCACATGCTTGGCCTTGGGCATCAGGCCAACCACCAGGGCTCATGCCACATGTGTGTGGAGGCCGGCCCTCTCCTTGGTCATGGTTCTACATGGGTCTCTTTGCCCCAGGGGCCAACGTGTTCCTAAGAGGCTCTTCCACCCCAGATTTGCAGGAAGGGCCCACTCCCCATCCCCGTCGTCATACCTGTGCCGCCCGAGGGTGCTCCAGCCTCCTCCTGCAGGCAGGGAACGGTGGGAGCCACCTTTCCCCACTGTAGGGGCGGCCTGGCCGTCACAGATTTGCTTTTGATCCGGAGGCTGTACTGGCGGGCCAGCTGGTAGACCTTATTCTTGACTCTCTCACTCACGTGGCCATCCATGACATGGGAGAGCTGTACGATGCGGGGGTGCAGCGGGGCCACCAGCTCCCCCTGGACCCCACTGCTCAGCTCCTTGACCAGCTCCTTCAGCTCCCGGGCCAGGTGGGCCGGGCTGGGCCGCTCCGTCGGGGAGGCACTCTCAGGGGAAGCAGTGGCCGACTCCTCAGTGATGGCCCCCAGCTCGTGCTCCTCCAGGATGAAGAGCGGCTCGTGTAGGTCGAAGCCATTGGCCTGGCCTTGGCCAGGCCCCTTCCTAGAGTTCTCCCCGGCAGACTCCATCCCCTCCCAGATCTTTACAATTTCTGAAGACGGCCGGAACTCAGCATCTGTGATAGGAGCTGGCTCCCCAGCACTCGCCTGGCTGGGTCCTGGGAGGTCAAACAGAGCCCATGAAGGTGGCCGGGAGCCCACTGGCCTCTTGTGCCCCAGCGGAGCCATGGGCTCCGGGTCTGGCCTGGGAAGGCTGTTGAATCTGGAAACAGAGTTTCTCACCAGCCCTTTGGGAATGTAGGAGAGGCTCTCCCG